CAATATATCTTATCAGATTATCATTATGCCATTTATACATGATGTCATTATTCACACACACACACACACACACATACACACACACTTAATGATACACTATCTTTCACTCATTTTCTACTTTCATCTCCTAATATTATTCTTAATGGATTTGTCCCTATTAAGCGGATTAATAAGTGAAGAGCACATGACAATTATAGTAAAATAATGAAATATATTCATAATATAAAAAAAATTTACTAATATTTGATGATCTACTAACCTTAGAAGAATTTTCGTTACTGTTACTGTTTCCATTTTCTAAGAGTTCAAAAATGGAAAAAAAATAAGACGAGACTACAATTGATGGAGGAACCAAACAGATATAAGATAACAGATCTCACATTTTGGCGTGAAATTTACTCATCCATTTCAGTAAATAGAATTTTGGCATTATAGCTAATGTCAGTTCGTGATGATAACCCTAAATCTAATTTCTAACCTTAATCATCAACTGTAAATCATAATTCGAATTCCTCACACTAATTTATAATCCTCATTTGGTCCTAGTTATTAGGTGGACACTGTCAAGGTCAGTCTAGTGTCTGTCAAAAGTCGTCCATAAATTATGGTCTCATCCAACATACTTTTACACTAGAGTAAAATTTAATATCAATATATAATAACATGATGTAACAGAGATATAAATAAAGTTTTAAAGTTATTGTTCATGTTCATTTTATTTGGAATTATACAATTTTTTATTGTTATGTTTTACATTTCATACTGTTTATTCATTGTTCAAATGTCCTTATGGAGTTAGTATACAAAATTTCATTTATATATGACTGTATAGTTTGATGATAAATTTGTTGAAAAGTGGTCCCTTCGTTGAACTTTGAGTTCTTTGATAATACAATCTGATATATATGTATATATATATATATATATATATATATATATATATATATATATATATATATATATATATATATATATATAGTAGGTTGTACGAAGATTTGGGTCATGTAGTGTCTGTTGGATTGATCACTTCTTTACATTAAAGAAAAGTTTGTGAATTACTTCATAGTTATTTTTTTAGGTTATTTTGTGGTGTAAACAAATTTCACGTAGGACAATATTTATAAACTTCTCATCCTAAAAGTGAATTGTGACTAGCGGTTGAACTAAGCTGATACATTTCGTCGCAATTTAGGACTTGTCAACTGCATGTACGTGCATTCAAGTATTGATGTTTACATTGAGACTTGAACCAAGTCACTTTCACTTTCAAGACCAATGAATTATGATGTGATTTACCGGAACAAGTTAGCCAACAACTGGTTCATCGGTTATAAGGTTGAGTACATACAAAATTTTGAAAGTTTTTGTTAATAACACTAGGAACTTCGTTTGGCCAGTCTCTATGAATTTATGTTTGTCCTCGGTGTATTACCCCGATAGTGCTTTTGTTTTCACGTTTTAGTGAAGATTGATAGCTGTCAATAGCGGAACTTAGTATGTATGTTTCTTCGTTTCTGAAATTGATTGGCTAGACGTACCTGAAGAGGATAATGTTATGGTATTGATAACTGTGTTCACGAACATTACAAAGGCTTCAAAGCATAGTCAACAAAACTAAATATAAACTTTTTAACACAAATAAAGCGGCCCGGAAATGAATTGACCTATACGTAATACAAGTTTTGCATTCATACTTTACGGTTCTTTGAATATATATATATATATAACATAAAGAAAACAAAGAATTGTCTCATGACTTAATCATTTGTATAATTTGTATAATTGTATTTTTTTTTACTGACGGAATAATGGAGATCAATTTAATTTTTAAATGTTACTCATGGATTTGCTATGTTTGAAAAGATTACGAGTTCATCTAATCTGAGAACGGAACAAAGACTTTGTGACTCAATGACAGATAAGTTAGCTGTTCCGACGCGTCACAGCCCAGCTAACTGGAAAGAGAAGTCCAAGTTCGGAAGAAGGAAATATATTTTACAAGCAGCTAGAAGCATGGACAACAACAACAAGCCCAATCAAGCGTATACACATCATAAGAATGTCCTTGGGAAGCGTTACAAAATAGCCTACTAAAAGATACAACGAACCAATATCTTTTAAGATCCTCCCAAATGGGAAATACGACATGAAGGTGAAAATGAGCGCTTTTGGCATGAAAACAAGAAATCCAAATTTTTAAAATAGAATTACAAAAATAAAGTATTTCAATCGTTTAAAGATCCCCGTCATATTAAAAGACTAGTATTTGAACGAAGAATATTCTTTTCGATAAATTCTCATCAGGTTCTACAGTTATATATCCAAATTAATAATCCGAGAAAATGGCCAGGTTAAGGGCAAACTACATCGTTTAGAACATGTGAATTGAGAATTACGTCTTACTTATTTGATTGAATTGTAATTGCACTATTATTTTTGTCTCACCCTATTTGACCCATATTTATTCTTATCATGGATCTTAAAATTTTACTTAACATATAAGCTGATTCAAGTTTACATTCTATATAAGTCATATTAACATTAACAATTTTATTGTATTTTGTTTATCACAATTCTAAATTCACATGCTCTAAACGATGTAGTTTGCCCTTAACCTGGCCATTTTTTCGGATTATTAATTTGGATATATAATTGTAGAACCTGAAGAGAATTTATCGAAAAGAATATTCTTCGTTCAAATACTAGTCTTTTAATAAAGTATTTACCAAATGAGTTCTGCGGATCCAACATCCCCAACAGGATTGAAATCAATCAGACAATTATTGAAAACCCAGAGCTTATGACACTCGAGTAGCTGACATTTTGTTTCCCTTAAATATTGAAACTCAGGATTCCAGGATAATATCCAATCATTCATCAGTTATCCAGTCTGTCATCACTTGGATGAATTGTGTTTGAATTTTCCATGGCGTTTTCACAATTAAACAAAATGATAGTACGGGCGAGTACAGTATTTGTTCATGTAGTTTTTCCACTATCTACCCGTTTTTGTTTGTGAATTGAAAGAGAATATTATATTCTAAACCATGACTTTGACTTTAAAAATACGTTAGCATGAAAGAACCATTTAATTCAAGGACATAAGTGTAAATATTCATGATGTGCTCATATTACTTGGAATTTTAAATCTTGTTTATTCAGAAGTTTTTCTTTTTTTTTACCTCAAAAAACGAACGTATACCAGGTCTATGTCCAATTTCATACCAAAAAACGTATATGATGGTCGATGATGTATTCTATATTAGATTAGACTCAACATAAAATATATGATTATTGGTCATTTTGAGACACCCCTACTTTAATACTCATCTTAAAATAAAGGACTGAGAATGTATAAAATAAAAATAATCCTTTAGAACCATAAGTTTAGGTTGGAAATGTGAAACATAGAAATTTATCTCAGTGAACAGAAATGTTTTATGAAGTCCAACTGTCCTAGATACGCTCCTTGGTGCTATCATTGTTACACACTGTTAAAAAAATCCAAAACTATGATAACATAACTGCTGATGGTTCCTAGTTTTTGCTAAATTTCTAGATAAGGTTGCTCCATAATGTAAACTAAATATAATATAAATTAAATGTCTCAAACTGAATGAACTATATGAAAAGACCTAATTATCAACTTTTTTAAATTATCAAAATTTTAAATACCAAGTTAAATTTAGAGATTAACTGACTAATTGATTTTATTCAGGGTAGGTTGGCATCCATACTATTAACCGGGTTTCCTATCCACTTATACATTGAATAATTTCTACCTAGTGATAAATTATTGTAAGCATCTCACTTTCATAGGAAGTTAGCATTATCCCGAATTGTTCTGTAATAACGTCTCGGACTATGAAACTGAATGACTGCAGTTCAGATTCATCAGGGAATATCATTCCCTTTAACATTGCTGATATACCTTGCTGACTATTGTCAACTTGGTACGAAATCTACTTCCATACATTTCTATTGACTACCTTAAACTATCTATCATCAATTTAGTATTTGTTGTTTTATCATTCTTATTTAAATTTATTATGTTCTCTTCTAAGACAAGAGTTACATAATTATTCTTTGTTTATATATCGATTGATTCACTGTTTTTCTTACATCATACAAATATATAACACAACTAATATTTTGATTGGACCAACATATAAGATCATGTGAAAGTTAATCGGAAAGCATTGGTAATAGTAATATAAAAATACAAAATAAACTAGTTTATTCTGGGATATATATCCTAACATCTTTATAATCATATTTAACATAATTGTAACATATGGTTCATACGTAAACATAGATTGGAACAAAGTTTGTTACTTATAATATGATCTCATTAAGAGATAATTATAATACATTATTACTAATTAAATGAAAATTCAAGATTATTAATTTAGTACTATGGTAATTGGTTTATGATTTGTGAAGGTTAGTCAATTTGAAAGAGAATTTTTCGTCATACAAACTCAAGAACTCTGGATATCTTAAACGTTCTAGTAATCTGGGGTTCTTTATTCAGTTAGGTATGTAGTGATTAATGCCTGCTACATGTGATTTGTTCGTCAACCAACAACAAGGTCAGAATTTTCAATACAAATGTCAAGACAATTCTACTGTATGGGGCGGAAACTTGGAAAAGTACGAAAGCCACCATCCAGAAGATACAAGTGTTTATTAACAGTTGTCTACGTAATATACTTCGGGTCCGTTGGTCGGACACTATCAGCAACAACCTACTGTGGGAGAGAACAAACTAGATCTCAGTGGAGAAAGAAATCAGGAAGAAGCGCTGGAAGTGGTTAGGACACACGTTGAGTAATGCACAAGACAAGCCCTCACATGGGATCCTCAAGGCCAAAGGGGGAGAGGAAGACCAAAGAACACATTACATCGAGAAGTGGAGACAGACATGAGAAGAATGAACAACAATTGGATAAGACTAGAAAGGAAGGCTTAGGACAGAGTGGGTTAAAGAATGCTGGTCGGCGGCCTATGCTCCATTAGGAGTAAAAGGCGTAATTAAGTAAGGAACCACAATTTCTCCTCGTCTGTGATGTCAGTGATCCATATTCTTAGTTTCACTGTATTGAATACCGTTTTCAAATTAATATTAATCAAGAAAGCACTAAATGTCAATAACTGGTTGATTAACTGACTCATTTATTTGTAGAAATGTTTTCAAGGATTACTTTTAACTAAAATAAAAAATCAGTTTAGCGGTTGTGGAGATTGTTAAGTTTTTGACTGAGATCATGAACCGACTGATGTTAGACCAGCATTGAAAAACTGGAAGCACTGGGCGGCCGTTTCGTTCTGGGTTCGAATCCCACGAGCGGGATTGTGGATACGCATTGCTGAGGAGTCCCACAATAGTACGAAACGGTCATCCAGTGCTTACAGGTTTTCCATGGTGGTCTAGATTCAATTGACTCGTGATCTCAACTATTCAAATAGTATTATACAAATAGTCGATATGTCATAATAGTAGCAACAACAATATCTTAACTAGTAGAAAGTTACAATTCCTAATATTTTCTGACTTAATGAGGTCAATATTTTCAGAGAAGAAATCAAGCTTTTCTTTTTAAATGAACACTTGTTCGACTAATACAAGGAATAAATTAAATCAACTATTTAGTACATGCATAAATAAGTTTGGTTATGCTAATATAGTGTTATAAAGTCAAGGGCAAATCTTTATTTTTTCATTCATATATGCTTGTGAATGGATATGAAAATTATGTAATACTAATATACATACTTGCCAGTTCCGGAGTGAACATCAACTCTGAAATGCAAGTACATCCAGCTGACAAGTCCCAAATAGGATGAACGCACGTCAAAACTGGATTCCACTACTAGCCACTATCCATCTTTGCTTAGATAAACAGTTATGTTTAGAAAATAAACACAGTTGTCAATAAAATTCCATTATCCATTAAATCATATAAATAGATTTTATTATATTTATTCTTGTTGAAAGCATCTATTAACTCATTTAAATTCTTAAGTGGATGATATTTTAATTGACATATATATATAAGTATAATAGTATGTTTATCTGTTTATGAAATTCAGTATTGATTCAGTTGTTTATTTTATTTGTATCAACTATGTGTTTTGTTACTAAGATGAAAAAATAAAAATATATTTAACCGTAATGAGTTATGAAGATTGTTTAATAAAGAAAATCAACAAATCAAAATCAATTCAATATTACATTAAAAAAAAAAAGAAGAAGATGAGTTTCACTAGTAGTAATTCTTATTCTATACTAGTGAATGTATGAAATGGAACTTTGTGTATGTTTTCAACTTATTTTTTTACTCTAATGTATAACAACAATTTCACATACGATCAAATCTATCATATTCAAACCTCTTGATGAACCTGCTATATTTGAACAATTTGCTGAGAGTTTATTGATTAACACTTTAAACTTCAATTAATGAGGTTTATAGTGTAAAGCATCATATTAATTTATTAGTGAGGTAGTTTCATACTTCAAGTCATAACTTTCCAGTTGAATATTGCAGTTTTTATTTTGAAGTTGGTTAATAGCAAAAATAAAATTAAAGACATGTGAATTGATGTTTCAGAAATATTTGCCAACTATGCAGAGGGTTTTCTTTATAAAATGAAAAAAAATATTTTATAGTTGAATTCATGAGTCACCATGGAATACATGGAAGCAGTGGACGTCACTGGATGATGCGCATTGCCGAGGAGTCCCATACTAGGACGAAACAAATGTCCATTTATTAATCTTATCGACCTTATTAAATATCCAGTATCTCATTATCCCGTTTCTTATCCGTATTCAGTGTAGTTACAAACTCGTTTTAATTGTTTAATATGGATGAAATTTTATGTATAAGAATGGTACTAATTTCAATCTTGGACCGTTTGCAGCTGATGAGGCACCTCAAATCATGATAGATTAATCGTATTTTGAAGATTTTATCCTTTACGTTTGATTTTTAATTGTTGAAAACATGTGCATAATACCTGTTGGTTCTAATACGGTTTCTTCAGTCATGTTGATTCACTCCTATATACAATATCTGTGACTTATGCATAATAGATGTTGTACTCATTTAGTGAGTAGCGTAAGCAAAGTCAGCCTATGATGTCAATTTCCTGAAAACTAGAGGATCTCAAGAGGTTTCCCTTTGTAATAATGATAATAATTTAGGCACAAGTTAATCTTAGTCAAGAATCTTGATGGTTCCAGTGGTACACCATATTAGGTGAATTTCAATGACATAAAAAGTAAAACAGTTACTCACCATTGCTTTTGGATAATATTATCCACTATTGTATGGTGATTGTTGCCAGTAATGTAAATTATTTAACCCGAGTTCAGTGATTAGGAGCTAACGCTCCCACCGTACGATTACTGGTCGGATCGTTAGTGAACAGTGTTCAGGGTTTCGAAACTAAGATGAAAAAACTAATTAGTTCTTCCTGAATTTCATCACATATCTATTCAGTGGTAAGTTGATAGATCTTATGTTATTAATAAATTGTACTGGTTATATAATTTTCTATTTAATATTTATCATAGTGCATCATCCAATTAAAAATACACTACATTCTCATATTCTCTTTTGTAGTTACATTCACAAGTTGTTAATAATATATTAACATGTCTTTTGGCTTTTGGAATGATAGCAGTCTATAGTTGGATGCTTATTGAAGGAATACATCTAATGAATATTTTATTCCTAACATTTATTGTTAGAAGGTTTCGTTTCACTTGCTATAGTATCATTGGTTGGGGTAAGTTATTCAAAATGCTTTTTTAATTATGTTTTAGTTGTGAAATGATATTTTTAAAACTTTAAGCTTTCGGTTTACCAATTATATTTACAGTAGATCATCCTAAAGCTCATTCACAGAATAAGAAAATTATATCTATGCCAGAATAACTGTTGGCATAAAACTGAATCATTTCTATTAAACATAATCTCAAACAATATCTGATAACTTCAATAGTTGAGATCATGAGTCAATTGAAACCAGACCATCATAGAAAGCACTGAGCGACTGTTTCGTTCTATTTTGGGATATCTCAGCAGTGCGCAGTGACCAGTTGAGTTCAACCGGGTCTGTTGTGAGATAGTAACTCAGTGAAGACACTGGTGGATGTGTAGCTCAGTTTCTTGGATTAGTTGGAGTTAGACATTAACGCCGTTGGATGTCTTCAAGTTCAATGGTCTAGAGGTTAAGTGTTCGTGCGCAAAACCGACATGTCCTGAGTTCGAATCCCGCGGACGGGATTGTGGATGCGCAATGCTGAGGAATCCCATAATAGGACGAAACGGCCATCCAGCGCTTTCAGGTTTTCGATGATCGTCTAGCTTCAATTAACCCATGATCTAAACTACTGGACTTACTATAATATCTACAAAAACCCCTTCTAATATCCGATAAGCTAAATCATAGCGTTCTTGGTTGTGTATTTGAGCGATTAAGATCCAGTCCTTTAATGGGTTGTAAGATCCCTGCATACTGACTGTTATAGATACACTATTAAGATTAATCCGTTCATTTATACGATAATCAGCAGTCATGAAACATCAAAAGTACTTTGATATGTCTAATTGTAGTGAAATAATGTCTCAATAAAACATTTCTACTTTAAAATATATGATGTATTTCATCACAGCCTTAGTAATTTATTTCATGTGTTTTGTTGAATTTTGTAGGGATTCCATCTGCATTGACGTGTTTGTGGGCAACCGCAAAATCAGTGAAATTAGGACATACACAGTAAGCTATTTTATTTGTCCTTCCTAATATCCATTTCTAATATATATAGAGATGTTATTAGTTGGAGCCAACCAGTGGAGTGCCTTTAACATATATTTCATGCAAGTTAGTACTTATAAAGAGCTCGTATTCCCAATCTTAAGGAAATGATAGTCCTTCTAGGATTTCTCAGAACATTAGATGCTGAACATTAAATATTATTTTGACCAAGATAAGCTAAATAATTTCAAACTAAAGGTATGCCACAACTTGGTTGAAAGAGGTATTTCTCAAAAACGTATTTCGATGTTTGTTTCAGCAGCATACGACATGCAAAAAGCCAAACTTTGCTGAATAGACTTATGTAATCTTTATATATATTAGTTATTTGAATATCTGCATTGTTTTCTAGGATTATAAATGATCAGGCTCTTTTTGGTGTACATACATCCTGTGCGGATCCCCTCGAAATTTCTATTAGGTCACTAGCACTTTTCAAGTACAGTCCCAAACAACAATGGGAAGATTCAAATAACCAATATTTTTGCACTGGACTTCACCCCACTGCATATGCCAGTGGCTTTCTGGATTCAGTAGCTGAGTGGATAACGCTGTGACATTTGAAGCGAATAGTATTGGGTTTGATTTCTGTGGTGAACATGAACTCTAGTATGTATATACATTCAGTTGAAGAGTTCCAAGTAGGAAAAAAGCGCACACATTGGATTCCACTACGATCTACTATTCAATTCTCCTTTAAAAAATACTTATGTAATCAATTTGTTGCTTACCACATTAAATAAAAATCCTTCAATATTGAAGGACTTTGTTGCCCACCTACAAATTTAATAAGAACTGGATCGTGAGAAACTAGTTTTATTTAATTGTCAGAATTATTAATCAACCAACAAACATCAAATCTCTAATAGAAAAATACATAACCGAACATTATTCAAACATCGTATTTAAGTCTTCGGAGATTATGAGATAAAACGCCTAAACTTCTACTGAATAACACATTTGTTTACAACACTGAATAAAGGATATTGATAAAGTCATCGTTAGTTCCTAGAAATCGTCTTTAGAAACTAACTGCCAAAAAGTACTTTGATTATTCAGTATTCATGTAAAACCTCTTAGGAAAACTCAGGAGAGAACTCATTGTAGTCAACTAACTTCAGTCAGTCAATTATCAACTAAAGTATTTTAATCAACACATCCACCATTGTCTTCAGAGAGTTACTATCTCACAAAAGACCTATCAAACCCAGACAATAGGATGAAAAGGAAGTCCAGTGCTTTCAAGTTTCCATGATGGTTTAGCTTCAACTAACTCATGATCTCAACCATTGAAATTACTGTAATATCCACAAAAACCCTTTTGATATAAAGTATTTTACCCTAAAAATTCTGAAATCTCTAGGTCACCTATTTATTTATAGATACCATTGTTTTGTAATGTTTAATTTAATCTTCAAAGTACAATTTTTATATATTTCGTATTTTATTCCCGTCCGGAGTATAAGGTTTATTCAATTAGAATGTTCAACACGTCAGAGTCTGAAGATTTCAAACTACAAAATCTATCATTTCACTACTTATATAATACCAGTAATCTTTGGTAATCCTAAACAAGATTAATATAATTCCTTTCCCCAATAGAATAATCATTTCATTAATCTGTTTATTTGAATATAAACAATCTTTAAAAAACGATGATACAAACAAATTTCCTCCTTTTTTTTCTTTTTATTTCTATCAATGTATTTACTTCTGTTCTATGTATTATATATAAATCTAGTCTGTGGACTGAACCAACTACATCTGACCCTGAAGGGATACTTGTTGTTACATCAATTCTTATTACACTTGCAGTAAGTAATTGTGAATGCAACTGTGTGTTTTCTTATTTATTTGAAAATACTAGAACTACTTAAACTCAATAATTAACATTTCCATAAATATATGATTTCATATATTTAACTCCCGTGAAACTATTCATTCAAATCAGGATAATAGTTATTATAAATTTTATGTATTCTTACTCATAAATTACGAAATTATTCATGGATACCCATTAAACGTTTATAATATTCATTTAAAAGGGAATTGTTAATAAATACTGTATTTTTATTGTTAATTAGATTACAGTAATTCTTTATATCATGAATCAATTGAAACTAGATTATCATGGAAAACCTGAAAGTACTAGAAGGTCGTTTCATCCTATTGAAGGACTTCTTAGCAGTGCTTATTCACGATCACGCCTAGGAAGATTCGAACTAAAGATCTGCCCGTCTCTAGACTACTGAGTCAGCATCCAACAATGTTAATGTCTAACTTCAAATAATCTACAAAATTGAGCGACACATCCACCATTGTCTTCAGTGAGTTACTATCTCACAACAGACCTAGTTGAACTCCACTGGTCATTGATTCTCACTAGAACTCTAGGAAATATCTGTTGAAGCCAGTTACTAAAGAGCATATATGTTGATTAACATCAGAAGGATTGCTTACAGGTTTTCCATGGTGTTCTAGCTTCAATTGACTCATGAATTCAATTATTAAACAAATAATAGTTGTACATAGTTTACTACTACTCCTACTTATTATTATTATTATTATTATTATTATTATTAATGACGTACTGTTTATTAAGCAACTCTTATAATCAATGAGAAATCAATTTCGAAAAAGAACTCTGATGCTCTTGAGTGACTATAACAATATGTTATGGACGTTATATTGGACAGTGGCCAAAATAAATGCGTTATTTGGGAAACAATCAATAATCTATACAGTGGCTTAAAATGACAAAGATTATTGGTCAGATTAAATTTTTTTGTTTACTTGAAATAGTTTAACACATTGTTTCTACTTCATTAAAATCCTATCGGCATAAAATCAATGACTATATGTATTGTTAATTACATAATCTATCAACAACACAAATTATGGTTGATCGATGTTCATAAAATGATTATATAATCAACTGAATTTCAGCTCAATACCACCAGATGTATTTCGAAGTTTTACATAATTAGTTAACATTAACAATGTTGGATACCAGCCGGCTCAGTGGTCTAGAGGTTAAATGTTCGCGCGCGAGACCAATAGATCCTGAGTTCGAAACTCGTGAAGCGTAGTCATGGATGCTCACTACTGAGGAGTCCCATAATAGGACGAAACGGCCATCCACTGCTTCCAGGTTTTTTATGGTATTCTAGCTTCTATTGACTCATAATCTCAGTTACTGGATTTTACATAATACTTAAATCAAAGCTTAATCTTCTGATTTCTAGTGTTTTATATACATAATCTACCTATCTGATTATAATAAAACAGTATCACTGAATTAAGATATTTTTAAAATCTTATTTTAATTCAATGTTCATACTGAAATTATTTATATCTAGCCAAGCATATGCTTTATTGCATAGTACCTTGTATGATATTTTGTTTTTCATTGAAACAGGATTGAGCACATTATGTAACTGTGTAAAACTTTGTATTGTTGAAGAAGATGAGATATATTTTTTCTTCTTGTCTAATTATACAAAACATAATTATAAGAATCTTATGTAAACAATGTTTGTTTATCAAGTAAACTTATTAGCAGTTCTAACATTTGTAATAGAAACATGACTAATTTATGAGACATATAAATATCAGGTGAAAATATAATTTATGGACGACTTTTGACAGACACTAGACTGACCTTGACAGTGTCCACCTAATAACTAGGACCAAATGAGGATTATAAATTAGTGTGAGGAATTCGAATTATGATTTACAGTTGATGATTAAGGTTAGAAATTAGATTTAGGGTTATCATCACGAACTGACATTAGCTATAATGCCAAAATTCTATTTACTGAAATGGATGAGTAAATTTCACGCCAAAATGTGAGATCTGTTATCTTATATCTGATTGGTTCATCCACAAATTATAGTCTCGCCAAATATCATTTTGTAAAATTATGAAACACATTTAACACTCCATAAGTAATGAGTTGTTTAAAATGAAATCAAGGAATTAATAGTGATAGAAGCTCAGTGAGTTTATAACTGAAATATCCAATATCTATATACATGGAGTAAAATTAGATGTAAGAAAAGTATATAAACTGATCTGATGATCTGTTATTTATCGGTTGAATAATATTAAATGAGATTTATTCGCTTAAACTATATACTTACTACTTAATAAACTTTCATCAAATAAGTACGTTGAAGAATAATAATAAATTAGAAGACAATGGATTATTTATTTTTAAAACTATGATTGTTATTCGTACATAATAATCAAAGATGAATGAACTACAAGTTGATGAAGGACAGATGGGGGTAAACATTATGTTTTTGATTGATTTATTTGAACACATAAATGATGGTACGAAGGGGCATCAGATACATATACGCCACAAAATAATAATGAGAATGTGAAAAAATAAAGAATGTAAGGTGCGTATAAGAAAAAGAGGTACAAACATGAACAGAAAATAGTGTATGATAGTGAAATATTAATAATAATGGGAGAGACAGTTCACTTAGCAAAATTACAGCCGCAGATAATTTTTTCAGTTAAAGAAGTTAAGTCTTTTTTATGAAGAAAGTAAAATAAAGTTACAGCAGGATCGCCACTGGCTTCTATTCTGAGCCATATCTGACAACGTCTCTGGCCATTGTGTTGCATTATCTCCGGGACTTCAATCAGGGAGTCGCGAAGGACCTACAGAAGCCGGTCCTGTATAGCCTTCTTTCATACCACGACACCATGCCATACACTGACCATCTCTCCGCTTTATCTAACCAGTCCCAGAGTCGGCAAATAATGCACGACGTGGAATTCTCTGGGACCACGTTTGTAGAACATGTCCAAGACACCGAAGTCGGTGTTTCAAGATGGTGACACCAATTGCATTATCGTCTCTGTGCCCGAACACACGATGCCGGACCTCTGCATTACCAATATGGTGTTGCCACTGGATGTTGGCAGTCTTTCGGAGACAACGATGATCAAACACAGAGAGTCGTATAACATCCTCAGGTTTCACAAGCATAGGGAAAAACTGCTTTCACTGACGCGTTGTAGACCCGACCTTTTACAGTCAGACTAATATCACGAATGCACCAAAGATGGCCCGGATTGGCATGAGCCGATCTGGCTTTCACTATACGTGCATTAATCTCATCACTCACGCCACCATCAGCACCTATGCAGCTACCTAGATACACGAACTTCTCGACTACTTCTATCTGCTCACCACCCAGGGTGAGTACAGGATTGGAATCCTGCCAGTCTTGTAGAAGTACTTTGCACTTCGAAGGTGCAAAGCACATACCATACCTACGGACACTGATTGCCAACTGATTAAGTACGGATTGCATGCCTTGAGCATTATCGCACAGTAAGACAATATCGTCCGCATACTCAAGGTCGAAAAATCTTTCTTCAAGCAACAAATTCACACTGCCGTTAGTTACATCCATCAGAGCTGTTTCCAGAATGTCGTCGATGGCAAAGTTGAAGAGGAATAGTGAGATTAGGCAACCCTGCCTAACTTCACTGCTCGAATGGAACAGTGGGGAGAGGTGGTTGTATGCCCTCACTCTGCCTGAGGTGTTTGCATATAGGGCTTTTAAGATGTTAATAAACTTAGGCACACTCTTCCTCAATAAACAATCCCAGAAAACGGTCCTGTTCAACAAATCGAAGGCAGCCCTGATGTCAAGAAACACTACGACTGTTGGCCTGTGATAAATATGACGGTGTTCTAACATTTGACGGAGGGTGAAGATATGATCAATACATCCTCGATCAGAACAAAAACCAGCCTGCTCCTCACGAGTCAATCTTTCTCGGGTTTTTAACAACCTACGATGTATGACGAAAGCAAATAGTTTGGATGCAATCAGAAATAAAATTATCCCCTGATAGTTCTTGCATGGGTGACGTGAACCCTTTTTACGACAAACATGTGTGTAAAGTGGTATAAGACAATTAAAAAAGGTATTTGAGTGATCTGTTCAAAACAATCAAACAGAATGTTGAAGATTTAGGTGCTACCGAACAAGCGATTCGTAATCATCTAATATCAAACGGCGTTCATTGAAAAGCAGGTTGTTTATTTTTATGATTGCACCAAAACTTGATGCATCGATATACATTAGTAGTAAAGAATAAACAAGATGGAATGAATACCTGTTTATGATCAACTAGTGCCTGAATGTTTAGTTGGAAGATGAGGTCTTCTATAAACCCAAATGATCACTAATTATGTCTCCCATTGTGACACTACGTGACGTAGATCAAGAATTTTTCGACAACAATTCCTATAGTTACCAATTTACATTTGACTAGTGCATATTACTGCAGTCATTGGAAATATCAATGATGTAAATCAAGTCATATAATTGGTTTTTGACAAGAGCGTTCCTAATAATTCAAACAGCAATAGACTGACTCATATACACTTATCTCGATTTTCATAAACTGTTTAATAAAGCATATACTGTAGTTGAAATTTATGGGCACAAAGTGAATTCGCATCATGAACTGACTTTTATTAAAAAAATACTGAAAACGTGGAATAACTTGACAGTTGTTTCCTCCTAGTATAATTATCCTTTATGAGAAAATTCAAATCCAACAATTTCCACTACACACCATAATAATAATAATAATAATAATACGAAGACTATTTACTGAAGAAAGAATCATCAACTAATTGAAGATAATTAAGTGGATGAATATAAAACTAAAATTACACCTCAACACAGTGCATTCGATTTTGAATCATCTTGAATAGTCGCCATTTTGCAACTTGATCGATAGAATTTGATGTCCAATAAGAAGGACCTGACACACATAACATTTGTCACTACCCAGTAATCAATCAACTGCAAATTATAATTCGTGCCCAAAATAAATCGGTTATGTATAATTCATCAGTATGTAGTAGGAACTAGCAGATGACTGCACGAAGTTGCAATGCTTCCATACCCATTCTCAAAAAAAGCTTAACAATTATGTTTTGATTCGAAGAAGTAATTAATGCAAACCACTCCCTTCCCAGATTAAGCGTACGAAGAAAATATCAGTAAAAATATTATCAGAGATAAGAACATGCACTCCCCCCCCCTTATTCTATCATGAATGGATTATTATTGACATATGCAGGTGGAGACATCATAGAAGACGTCTTATTGATTTTGATATGTTATAAGAAGAAATTTACTTCGTATAGGGTTAGGGTAAGCAAACAACAAAAAACACTTTATTTGTATGTATAACTGTACAATGGTAAGGTAAACATAAAATACACTAGGAAGTAGCCCTATTGATTTTGTGTTTAACTTAACATCATCAAATCTTTATTTTTAAGGGAAAAGAAATGAAAATATTCACATGTTCATCTATTATTACAGTCGTATTGTTTTTTTATGATTCTTCTTTTCAATTTTTGTTATTAGGTAAATTTTTTTATTATGTCCATCACATTATTCATGCTACTGACAAAACTTCATAGACAACCAACTGGAATAGCGGGTAGTCGAAAAACAAAAGTCAATAGAACAATTGAACTACAACGTCAGCGTTCACGTGGGACACGTCAACTAAGATTATTATCGAATAATCCAATTACACTAAGTAACAAATTAACCACAATAACAATGACAGGGTCAGAAAGAGTAAACAAATCTCAGGTTGAATTACAATTAAACGATAAAACTGGTGTACAGCAAGAAAGAATTAAAACAATAGACAATAACAACAATAATTCTATTACTACTATTGCTAATACCAATAGTAATAATCATAGCAAAATTAATATCACTGCTGAAATAATTAATCAAGATGCACAAACACCAATTATACCACTAAAAACAATCCTAGGAACAACTTCAACAATAAAGACAGCAGGAGATAATATGCAGTTAACAACAGGCAATAAGATGAAAACGAAATTTCTAAAATCATTTTCAAAAACTTCAAATGCTCCATCATATTCAGCAGCTGCAAGTATCACTTCTTCCGTAAATTCAAATGTTTCAGGAACTCAGCCAATTAAATCTGATGTAACAATTACTATGGATGATAAAGTTATGAATAATAAACATACAAACAAGTGTGATAAAAAAGTTTGTAAAAACTCTTCAGTTAATCAATGGAAAACCAGCAAGTATTTCCAACGCAAAAGTATTGACAGTAGTTTCCTATCTTCCCCTGCAATACGTATAAAAGAGATTAGGTAAATGTTTCATCTTTTTTCTTTAAAAAAGTAGGAATGAGAGATATAAACAGTTACTTGGTTTGTCGATGGAATTATGAAAGGAAGATTCTCAGTTATTCAAGCAACCAAACATAAATTATCGTATCTAGGTTTTAGTTAAAGATGTTTTTTGGGGGAGTAGTTTATTGCCAGGTTGCCTACATTGAATCAGGCTAAGTGTCATTTACACCTATATCGTAATGCTTGATATATAAGTACTTAAATAACAAAATTATATTTCCATTATTACCCATGTTGAAACCCTTAGAAGTTTACTAATAATATCAGACAGAACAAATGAAAAATAATCCTAAATTCTTAAAATCATCAAAGAGTATATTGAATCAAGAGGTTTATGACTGTTTGGCAGTTGGAATGTATGACCTAACAGTGATACTGATACTACTTATGTATTGAAATATATTTTTCATATCTAATTGTTGCGTTCCTTGCAGATGAAGCTGTTGATAGGTTGGTTTTATACCGTTGAAATTCATTTTTCTTTACACAACGTCATATCTCTAAGCGGTTTCACACATTTCACTTAGTGTTGTTTACTTGTATCATCCCATTGTTATTTAGGACTACAAATAATCAGTCTCTTATTGGCATATGTGCATCTTGTGCGTATTGCCTCGACATTTCTTTAATTTGCAAGCATCATAAGCGAAGATGGTTAGTGGTTAGCAGTGGAATCCAGTTTGACGCGCGTTTCGTCCTATTTGGTACTCGTCAGCTGGATCTACCTTCATCTCAGCGTTAATATTTACTCTGGGGCTCGAAGCCAGTACCGTATTCATTAGTTTCTGTATATTTTCCAGTATATGTATGCAAACTCTTAATATCACTAATTTCCTGTCGTTTTTCTAAAAAAACGAAATACCCCAAAACTTTCTTTTACAGGAAAGCCATCAAAGCTATAATATTTCTGATGCCATTGCTGGGTTTTTCACAGTTAATATTCTTAATACCTTATAGTAAAGAATTCGGTAGAGTATTTGATTATATCAACGCAATTATGCTTTCTACTCAGGTAAGATTATATTAGGTTGTTTATTGTGTTTAATTGTTAAATAATTTGAACATAATACATGATAATAAGCTAGTGAGTCAGTTAACAAAACACTTCATACTTCTGAATGAACTACTCATTCTCCATTAAAGTTGAGGTATATTTTGAGTTATATTAATGGCAAGTATTACGTTGCTTTAAATAGATTTACAATAAGTAGCTAAGCTGGAAAATTAAATCTTCCAGTCATATGCTGTTTAATCGTAATCTGTGAGCTAAATCAATGGAAATAAATAATGAGACCTTTTACAGTCAATCAATTATATCTCACATTAGAAATACAATTCATCAAAGTGAATCTCAATAGTCATAATTTATCCGATTCAGTTCAAGATTTCTACTCCCTAGATTTAGTCATAATTCTTGCTGTGGATAAGTTTTAAACCCGAATAAGACGGTTACCAGTTCAACTTGGTTTTTAGTTATTCTCTAGCTCATGTTTGAAAACAACTTTTGTTTAAAATAAAATTTTTAAAAAATCAAAAATTAAGATTGTGAAACAAATCAAAACCTTTTGAATATTATATCACTACAGTGTTTATTCTACTATGTCATCTTTTGGTGCTTTCCAAATATATTTTTTGTAAATCTAAATGTTCGACACGGCCAACTATTCTCAGAAGTTAACTTTCGATCAGTGAATCACGATTTCAATCAACTCAACAGTTTGATTTATAGACTCGGTTAGTAAAACTACACACTTCAGTAAAGGTATTATTTGATTGCTGTGTTACATTAAGCACTAACACACATCTTCTGTATCATTAAACGTTGCCCCGCAAATGATTAACAGAGCTACTGGAATCCACCAACAACAGTTGTGTCATGATCAACTCTATTCAACAAGTTTAAATTCATTGGTTGTATGAGTAGTTTATGTATTGCATTTATTAGAATCTCATCGATCGTTAACACTTCACTACTAAAAAGTTTGACAATGGCTAGCAATATAAATCGGAAAATAGGTTTTTCTTTATTTGAGACTCGTTATCTGTATGTACCTAAATTTCAGTGCTTAACCTCAAGCACTGTGAATCTAACCTGGTACCTTTCACTTCATACGCTAACGCATTATCCGACGAGCCACTGAGTTCAGATATCCGCTGGTTTAAGCAGCGGAGCCGAATTCGATTTTTTTCAAATCTTTGTTTCTTCTCCGTACGATTTGTAGAATATACTAAGGACAAAAATAAATGTTACTATTTTACAAGCTTTGAATTAAATGAAATGACTTCCCGAAAAATAGCTTCCATAGTTTGTTAAGGCTTCTTGTTTCTCTGTTCACATCAATAAGCATACATATAATTTCATAAGTATAAAATACTCGTTTTCGTATATAATGCATTAACGATAAAGAAAATCAGTAATTATAATAATTATTTATTGTTTTGTTTAATTTGAAAAGGGTTTCTGGGTTACGTTAATTTATTGTTTCCTAAATTCCGAAGTAAGTTATTGATGAAGTTTTTTTAAAGTGTGAATGAAAATTTGTTTTACGACGAATTTTTTTCTTCATTCTTTCTCCCTATTTGGTTTAACTGAATATGTTGTAAAATATAAACAGATGTACTTTTCACATTTGAACCTCGCCTGTTTGATACATGCATGTCCCAAATACTTATTTATTTATTGGAACACATAAACATTGGTACAAGAGGGCACCAAATATATATGCGCCATACAATAACAATGAAGCCAGTAATAGTTGTCATTGATTTGTGTATGGGCTCTGATGCTGACTGGGGTCCCAATCCGAAACAAGTGGTTTCCTAAGGGAGCCATACCCCGAGCCTTTGACCATGAAATCAAATCCACAAAGCAGGGGAGCAACGTTAGGAAATGCAGTCCAATGGTAGTCGGTGAATAACACTAAGTTAATACAACATTTATTCATTTAGGATCCAGGAGCCCATATGCAGCATTGGTTTGGAATCAGGGTTTTCCAACTCCTCTAGGTGGATCCTCCGTATCCACCAACCCGGTTAAGGCGTGAGGCATTCGCTTTTTATCCTCTCTATTTCGTAAACAACACCCATGACGCGCAGTGGAAATGGCGATTGAGCCAACTCGATTTAGATGAGCGTTAATCAATATTTATAGTCTCATATAAAAAGCTACAAACATCTAATGAATAGGATAAGAAGTGTACAAACATAAACGCTCGTATAAAAACAGTCAGGGTTGATAAGTGAATAATGAACAGGTTTAAAACATGATTGAAGAAGAATGGATAAATTAGCCTGTACAGAAGCTAGAATAAGTTATATGGGCTTAACATAATAACCGACACTACATTATCAATAATGTTTGAATTCCCTAATAAACACTAACGATTATATAACTGTAGATAGAGTATGAATAGAGGAGCTAACTAGTAAGTGATCTAGATTCACGGATCACTATCAACTACTTTCAGTTACTTTATTTTGGAAATGTTCCACCTATTCAAATGGAATCACTAACTAATCTTTCTCACAATTTTATTCTCATATCAAATTCAGGAAATGAATATCAGATATCCAGACATTATCATCTTATGTATGTCATAAGGTATCTCGAAAAAAATTTCTGTCTGATCTTTCTAACCATCTTTTTTTATTGTCATGGTATAAGCACTGACATGTTTTTGTTGGAAATTAAAAAAACAATTACGCTCCTACCATCCATTTTTCTACTCTGATCATCTATTTATTCCAATCGATTGCAGTGATCTCGCTTAACCTAATGAGCTGTAAATACTTTGATTTCCATTTAAAAAAGAAAAACCCGGTTACATCTTGTTAGAATTTACATTTTTATACCATTTAGATACAACCATTTTTCTGTATTCAAATTAGATTGAATTATTTAAAATAATTATGTTTCAATGAAATCTATTCTACTTGGCTAAAATAAACCGCCCCTCCTTTTTTTCTTTCCCCTAGGAAACTATATTTTGGGTAAAGATTTGTTTTAACTTTTTTAATTTTAAATAGCATTCTATTGTAAAAAGATATTTACATTAAATTATACTTTTATCAAGTTAATGTATTCAGCATTGAACTATATTAGAATGTGCAATAATAATAAAATAAAAAACACAAAGTTCAGTGAAGGGATCTCGTTTCAACGAATTGATTATCAAGCTGTACAATCGTATATATATATATATATACGATTGTACAGCTTGATAATCAATTCGTTGAAATTTGTATTTTTAATTTTTAATGTTTAAACGATAGTACATGCAGAATGTAATAAATTTAAAAAATGTTGTTCCCTTCTCTTCAAATACATACAAACTAATTCGTTTACTTATTTCTAATTATCAACATATTGGTATGTATGTAACTGATAAGAAGACGGCTAAAATACAATGAATCCCTATTCATATTTAACAACAACATCTTTGAAATATTCCCATATTGTAAATTTAGAACAACATATATTAGCGAACAATATTGTTTTCGATTAGATCTTCATCAGGCTTCACTCTAATATACAGTAATATTTATATGCATATACGAAATTATTAAACCAATCAAGGTACTTTATAAGTCAATGATAACAATGGAAACGATTACATAATAAGTGAAAAGTGAAAAGTAACACCCATATCTCTGCCCTGGCCTTAAGTAATAAATGAATTTATTTATACTTTTTTCTAACTTTCTCTTCGTTTTTTTTCCACCCCCCTCCTACCATTTTATTTTATTTTCTCTCAAATATACGTTTCACGGTCCAATTATCTGAACATTTCTTATTACGTCATCTTATAATTTTATAATTGTTATCTCATTGTCTATATTTTCTCCTAATCATTGACCTATTTCCGATTATGTAACATTGATTTGAGCCTTTATTATTCTTATCAAAAAATAGTACAACTGTCATCACACTATTAATTTGTACTTTTCACTTTTCGCTTATTATGTAATCGTTTCCATTGTTACCATTGTCTCATCAACTACCTTGATTGGTTTAATAATTTTCATATATGCATATAAATATTACTGTATATTAGAGTAAAGCCTGATGAAGATCTGATCGAAAACAATATTGTTCGCTTATATCTATGTTGTTCTAAATCTCAATATCAACAATTTGATAATAGAATTAATGATATAATTGTAATATCCGAATGAGCAAGAAATTTAATGACTGAATGTAACCTATAATAAATACATTTTTGTTATATCCTAATGAGTAGACAAATTGTATTGCTGACGTTTCGTCAATTGATGTAAGCCACTTCTTCAGTATAAAGAAATAACCGGTATTAAATTAACACAAGTTTAAATAATACAAAGGGATGACAGAGGATATAACAAAAGTATATTTATTATTAACTCTATCCAATGCTGAATTTATTTGAAACTATCAAGTCTAACCTTGGTATGGATAACTATCAATGAAACCCAGTTCTTCGAAGAATACATAAATTAAAAAGTCAAATTAACGCAAATTTAAATAGTGAAAAAGAATAGAACAAAACTATTTAGTACAGTCAAAGACATGTCTAACAAAAATCACATTAATCCGAGTGATATGATATTAACTTATCTAGACCTGCATCTCAGAGTTGATGCTCACTCCGCGATACATGTACATCCAGCTGACGAGTCCCGAATAGCACGAAACGCGCGTCGAACTGAATTCCACTGTTAGCCACTATCGATCTTTCCTTATTAAGCGTAATCCATTGATATTTTCTTAATAATGATATCTTCCTTGTATTTTCAAATCTTATAATCTGTCCAACTTGACAATATCTCTTTCATCATTTGTTTTGTCTCAAGGTTCAACGTGTCCTTCGTACAAGATGGCGTATCTTATTTCCAACTTTAAAAACTCAATTATCAGAACGTATTCAACAAAAACAATCATTTATAACAAATCCAATATTATTATCAAATAATAATTATGATATAGAACAACCATAATTTTAATTATTACCGAGATAAGATCATTTAATCACCAGTATTGCAATGTTTTCATTTGTTTCTATCTTATATTAATTATGTAATCTGATACTGAAGACTTGAAGTTATACATTTACAGATAATACGTTCAAAATGAAATCTCGATCTATGTGAATTTTATTACACTACTATTGATTCTCCTACATTTAGATTCCTTTGTATTTTATCCGGACATTTCATTATGGTGATAATGATTTAAATTTAGGATTGTAAAGCTGCTTCTAATTTCATCTTTGTTTTCTTCAAAAACTTCTTATTAAAATATTACAATCTATTTTTCACTTTTCATTCTAATGGTATCATATTCTCTAAAGTAGATTATTTGATTCTAGAACTTTTATTATAGTTCTGGATGATAACATCATCACCTTCCAATTTGTATAGAAGTGAACAGTATGACAGAAACATTCATTTCCATATAAAGTATAAACTGATAATAATAATGTTATTTCGAACAACAAAATCATTCAATTTATCTTTCAATCTTCACTAGCGCTTTCACTACCTTTCCATTTACAATTTCTATTACATCAATGTCATATGATATATTTGTCAATTTACTGAAATAATTTTACTGTTTATTATTCGAAATCCCTCTTCATTCATATAATATTCTATAATAATAAATATTTCCTACAACATTCAAATTAATATCAGAGGGGATTTTGTGGATAGTAACTTATTGAAAACAATGATGGATGTGTCGCTAGATTTCGTGGATTAGTTAAAGTTAGACATTAACATCGTTAGATGCCAGTTTAGTGGTCTAGAGATTTAGAGCTCGTGCGCGAGACCGATAGGTCCTGGGTTTGAACCACGCGATGCGGGATAGTGGATACGCACTGACGTTGATTCCCACAGTAGGACGAAACGGTCATCCAGTGCTTCCAGGTTTTCCATTGTGGTCTACCTTCAATTGACTCATGATCTCAATCATTAAAATATTCAAATTGTTAGATTATCTTTAAGAGAGATTCCTATAAAATACACTGTAACTTATTCCTGATAATAACGATAATGTGTGAAATCAATTGTTTACATATTGAAATTTGAGAGGGGTGAGATATATTGTGTGACACCTTATACATGACATAGTGTAGAGGAATATGTTGTAAGTGCATTATTCCTCTGGTTAAACTTCTACCTACATGTTCCTGTCTAGATCATTTCAGTAAACGTAGTAAGCCAGTAGTAATAAAAGCTTTCTGTACAGTGTTTATTCTTCAGTTCTTTAAAGGTGGGTTAATGAAGCGTTTACTAGCGTTCATAGTTACTGATTTAGACAGTAAATCATATAACAGCGAAAGTTCGTTCCAAGTACCTCAGTAATACACATTCACAACGAAATATGTGTTAAAACACATGTGCTCATTAGTGGTCTAGCTTCGATCGATTCATAAATTCAACTATTTAAACCACTACAATCTCTGCGAATTCCCATTCTGATAAAACATTGATCACTATAAAAATTGTTTATGGTTGATCGTTCTAGATCATGGATAGAATGAAACTGTGTGTTGTCTATGGTGCTTAACAAATTGATTAGATGTTGATATTCTTAACGAGTAACTTAAAGACCTACAAATGGAGATCTCATTAAATTTTAATGGCTCTGTTGTCAGGTTACTTGGAGGTTTTAGAAAAGACTGAAATCAGTCAGCATTGATGATCAAAAAGCACGATACTAATCAGGACTCGGTGATTAATCACAGTGAAAATCTCAATTCTACAGATTAATTGATCCTTGGATAAGCCAGCGATAATATTTCAGACTATGAAACGGAATGACGACTGCTCAAGTCCTACGGTGAAAATTAGTTCTCTGAATATCTCAGAAATGAACAGCGAAGGAGAGTTTGCTAGCATGAAAGCCGGTTACAAGATTTCTTGCTGACTACCTTTAATCATCGAATATTTATACATAATACACGTGGCGTTGTGTCCCTTACTCTTAGGGTTGCAATAAAGTCTTGTTAATAATTAAGTCTAGACAATGGAAACTTGTGTTACTATGCAGTGATCGATGAACACATTCAGTGTGTGTTTCCACAAAGCACCGATTAAAACTGAATAAATTCTGTGAATATTCTCACTTAACGATTTGAACATACTACATTATTTTCATCATTATAGAATTTGAGTGATTAGGTTTTTATTGAGATCATGAGAAGCCATAACCAGTGGAGTTCTACCGTGTCAGGCGTATAGCATTTACCCACCAAAGACAATGAACTATGGTCGCGCAACGTCATGGATTGGATGAAGTTAGGCAATACCGCCGTCAGAGTTTGCGAGTTCGTGCGTGAGACCAAAGGTATTGGACTGGAGTCCCTCATGTGGGATGATGAAAGTGGATTGTTAAGGAGCTCCACACCAGAACTAAATGGATGTCTAGTGCTTCCAGATTTTCGATGATGGTCTAACGTTGATCTGTTAATGATCTCAATGAAAACATTATTTTTAATCAGGTTGTTCATCAGTTGGCTTTCTACAACTTTTTAGGTAGCACTTTGGGATTAGGATAAAGTATCTTAGTCTGTTTGCATTCTTTATCTCACTGAATGACTTATTGCCGTATAAACTACACTGAGACATACATTCACCCAGATGGCTAGTTCCAGGGAAGAGGAAATGAATATTTTGGGTGGCACTGGTAATCAAAATTCAGAAATTTAATAAAACTTCGTGGTTTTTTCAAACGTATCAGGGAATAAATTAGCATGACTGTTAAGAAACCAAGCTGTTGGTTTACAAATGGTATGCAAAAACTAAATTCTAAAGGCAAGTACATTTTAAATGAACTTCATTTATGTTTATTTCTTGAAAAATATTTTGCTCATAAGTGTATCATTGTAACTGCCAAAGTCATCACTCGGCTAAGCTATGCATATCAAGTCAAATGACTGAACACTAGGCAATCAGTTTGGCATTTTCATGTGAACTATTCAGCTAATTCATATATGTCTCTAACTTATTTTTAAGCAGAAAATTCAATTCCAAATTATTAGTCAATAACACACACACATACACACGTTTAAATAAACACACACCCAAGTGTTCTTGCTTATCTACATAGATCAATTAAATTTCTTTATATAGCGGAACAAACGAATGCTATATAATGGGTTAAATAAAGAAAACAGGAGCAACGGAAGGATTTCGACATATTTGTTTATTTACTTAATTTTTATTTATTTGTCTTCTAAAGAACCATACAACCCTTTTAGAGAACCAATTTTGTTTTCTCATAAGTTTTTTTCAAATTGATGGATGTATATTTATATAACCTGTCCAGTAAACACGCGAACTAACATTAAAAAAAATACTTTACATACGAAATTTCAAGGCACATCAATTTTATTTCCTTTATAGTACTCCTCGTTTATGATTAGACAGTTGCTTCGTTTTTATCTCCGTCAACTAAAACATTCCTAATAGAATTTTTGCCCTTTAGTTAACCAATTGCTTCATACAAATTTTAACTTCAAATATTTAGGTACAATTGCATACATAACTGCACGGCACTTCAACAGTATTCACTTTCAAAGTGATTTCATTATTAGAAATCATTCGACACATATTCAATATTTTCATCAACATAGGAGGTTAAAGTTCGTTTCAGTCTTAAGTTCTCTTTACAGGAAGCATGATTCACTTGAAATAATTACTTTCTCTTATCTGTTATTTTTTATAAAAAGCTCTTAATATTTTATGAACTTTCTAACTGTTACCTTACGCAAGTACTAGTAGTTTAGTTCGTATATGTACTAGATAGACTACTTTTTATAATTTATTAAATAATAATCAGGATGAGGGTTTGTGGAGATTGTAGTAATTTAATATTTGAAATCAACAGTCGATTTTAAACTAGACCAGCACGAAATACCTGAAAGCATTGGACGGCCATTTAGTCCTAACATGGAACTCCTTAGTAATGAGCATACACGATCCTGCACATGGGACTTGAATTTGTTAAAGTTAGACATTAAGATTGTTGGTTGCTGGCTCAGTAGTCAAGAGGTTATGTTCACGCGTGAGATCGAAGGTCCTGGGTTCAAGTCCCCCACGCAAGATCATGGATGCGCAGTGCTAAAGAGTCCCATACCAGGATGAGACAGCTGTTCAGTGTTTTAAGATTTTTCATAGTATCCTAGCTTAAAACCGACTCTTGATTTCAATAATTAAATAATAATCATTATTTTTGACACGATTTGCCAAAGTGAAAACACATAGCTTCCTACTTACTCTTTAGCTTTTAATGATCCTCTAATTAGATTTGTTTCATACTTACAAATTCAATCGATTAAGCAACCAATTCAGTATTTTTAATGGAAGTTGACTTTAGTAAAATGTTCAAAAATTCCCATTTACTCCCTTTTTTAACGTAAGCTATAAGACCAGTCCATTATCTTTGATTTCATTTAAATTTTTAACCACTATAGTGAACTTACTAATTTAATATATCAAGCTGTTAGGTCAATGAATGTTATAAATTTTGCATTATTTATTAAAATTCGTAAAATACAGTGTTATTCTTTGAAAATATTCCGATCAGTTGATTAGCTTAACATTATTTACCGCTTCCGACTCCATCACTGTCATTTATCTCCTGAGCAGAGAATCACTGAGTAAACGTTTGTGCTATATATCTTCCGTTACCAATTAGTTCAATAATTAGTTCATGATTATGTAAATTATCACTTCGTGTATATCAATTTTTTCATTCATGCGATGAGAAACGAGTTCATTTAAATTGGGTGTTTGACAATTATCAAGTATGAAGTGACACTGGAAATGTGAATAACTGAATATCAGCCCACTGGTCTTTGGACCATATGTTCGCTGCCAAACTTAATGGTCAGTAGTTCGTTTCGTCTATAGTCCATGAAAATTCACGTAAAACAGAGAACTCTTGCTTAATATTTACAAGTTTTCAATGTTTATTCGGCTAAAGACATTCCATAATGTAAAACTGTTTTTAAATGTGATAAAATCCACAAATACTCTGTATGAGCTTCTGTGTTGCTAAAAATAAGTCTTGTATACGGGGCTATGAAAAAATTGTTCAGTTTTGTTGAATCATATCTACAATATTAATCAAATCAAATATTTTCAACTCTCACCACCAATAATAATTTCCGATGATATTTGATAACAGTTTGACACTTATAAAGCTTGTAGTCTAAGACTAGAGCAAATTCCAACCGAAAAAGCACGGCGCTTTGCGATATGAATTTATCTTTGGCCACCTCTTTGCTAACTTTAAGGATTCCATATAAGTTTCCGGCGGTTCGTTGCTCATGAAACAGTCAATTCAGTGTTTTACAGCCATTATTGTGCTACTTATTTTGATTTAAGTAGTATCAAATAAATAACTAAGTTACCTTTTCCTATTTTTCACCTCGTGTGTCAGGTGAGTGATGAAGCGTATATTTATATTACGTTATTATAATACTGTTATATTAAATTGTCCAGCATCTTATTCATTTTTAATCAACAATTATCCCCAATTATAAGAGAATGAAGTGAAGAAGAAGGAAATAATGTACAAATATTGGTCAATTATATATTTCACCCACTGAATTGTTACCTGAATACAGCAACTTACTATGAATTAATGATCTGTAGGTTCTTAATTGCTGTATAATGATAATAATAATACATTATTAACTAAAAACACTTTCCTGTATGTATTCACGACCGATATTCTTGCTGATATGAATCCTTATGAAGTTTAAATAACGCATCTTTAAATGATTGTAAAGTAACTTGGTCGTCTGTTTTCGGCTGTTTATTCCCCAACAATGCCTTATCGAAACTCAGTGCCATTTGCCAGACTTTGTCAAAACTTAGGGGAGTGTTGAATAAATGACACAAATTAGCTTCAGTAAACAGATTCAATGTCTATAATCAGAAATGAAAAAAATGTACGAGTAAAAAATTTGGAATTCGGGAATAGATTATTTCAAAATAGTGATCAGTGTTCTAACTAACTTTAGATTGAGAATGGCTAGTAGAAGTCAACTCACTTGGTGTGGAACAGGCATCGCTTACAGTACGGAACTATAGTTCCGTAATATTATGAATCAAATGCAGCTAGGAATATGAACCACTAGATGGCACGCCAGAGGCCTCAAGCCAATACTTTGGTGGTTAGACAAAATGACATCAAGGGTTTTAGCATTCAACTGGATTTCATAGTCTTCAATTCTGAATAAAACTGAACTGAATCATTCAGTCGATCATCAATTAAAATAACTGATGCAAAAACGAAACACATTTACAAAGTAAAAATTCCTGAAGATTGCATCTGAGCAAGCAAACAACTGGATAAAGAGTTCAGGGAATATGAATTATCTGTCGAAGACTTCATTACGTTACTTCGAATAAAATCAGACTTAGGATCCCATTTATCGTGCCATCCCTACATAGAAATTAATTGCGATGTTGACTGTGTCGTCAAATCATTTTCTAGGTTATGGTTACAAAAGACTTACATGTGTGACATAAGTGTTTGAAATCGATCGTGCACTAGCTGTTTGATAGAGTACATTAATTTATATAAGGTGTACCAACACACATGTATATTTATAAACATAAGTGTGTTTAAATATACATACAACATTCATATATACAATCATACAACGGATACATATCTGTATTTCTTAGCACAGCTTTAGTCTAGACAAGAAATGATTTAACAAAATAAAGGCTACAGTGATCAACAAAGTTTGAAATTCAAACTATTAGTTTCGATTTGTACCTGTTATATTGGCTGTTACATTAGTTTGTTCAAATAAGTTGACCTGATTTGAATATACGAGTTGAGTTTTTTTTGGATACCCTACTGATAAACTAGGCTTGAAATGTATAACGTGATCTGTGGTGGTCGGTATTCGATATATCCCTTAAACTTCGTATACAATTCGTCTTGATAACCGTCCTATTTAACCCCAACGGTATATTATTCAGAAGGCGAATACGAAGCGTTGATTACGTTTATTTCGAGACCACACACACAGATGTCCAAAATTACAGATGCATTAAACGAGCATTAAGAGTTGTGTCGAACGGCAAACAGGCAAGCGAGCGACTGAGCGAATGTAAGTAATCGAGTACAATCAAGAGAGCGAGAAAGCAGTCAGCCATATGAATAACATGGACATACATATAGCATGTGAAATTAATGAGTAATCGAATCAAATAAGCGGTTAGTAGTGAGACTAGCAGGGTGAACAAATGCGTAGGCCGTAAGCAATATTCAAGCATGAGTATTTCATACAAGCACAAAATAATAATAAGGGTACAATAAATTGTTATAGTGCGGATGGCTTTGTCCGCTAAATAAGTTAGCAAAAAGGGCTTAACTGAGTTAAATGAGAATAAACCCATTTGCACGTGAGTCGCTATAGATCATCCTGTGTGTGCTAAACATTACAGTCAAGTCAGTAAAATGTATGTGTCATACTAATTGGTTTCTAACCCCTAATGACTTCAATAACATATCAGATATTGATAAGATCTAATAAGTTTTTAGAAATAACAGTAATGAAATAAAAGATGAATACAAATAGTAAAACACTTATCATATTTCCATATTGTCCAAAAGTAATTGAGATATTGTTTGTGTTATTGTTGATCACTACAGATATAACAAACAAAAACCTATCTTCATGATATTTTTTATTATTAACAAAAATCAGATGGAAACTTGATCAAGATTAAGAAGTATTTGACATACAGTTTACTATGACTTGCAAGTGTTTAGCATCCTTGATTTTATACGAGGCAGTTAATTCACTAAAAATACACAACTAATATAATATTCATTTGTGACTTCATTCGAGTAAAATGTTCAAACTTTTGGACGGAAAGATCATGTTTACATGTGAGTTTATTATACATAGTGGTAAAGATAAAAATGAATGTACATTTGTAAAATTCAATAATGACTGAGTTGAACTCGATCTCAATTTAGTTAGCAAATTTTATTTTTGACTAACTCGTGTGTGTTAAACAGTTACAATCAATGGCAATGTTCTACATAACTTAATTACGCCTGTTACTCCCAGTGGAGCATAGGTCGCCGATCAGCATCCTTCAACCCACTCTGTCTTGGGCCTCCCTTTCTATTTCTATCCAATCCTTGTTCATTTTTCTCATGTTTGTCTCCATTTCTCAGCGTAATATGTTCTTTGGTCTTCCCCTTTTCCTTTGGCCTTGCGGATTCCAGGTGAGGGCTTGCCTTGTGGCGCAGTTGGGTACTTTCCTCAATGTGTGTCCTATCCACTTCCAGTGCCTCTTTTTGATTTCTTTCTCCGGTCTTTACTTCTAACTAGTCTGTGAGCTTTCCTCCATGCACAATTTTGCAGTTTAATCCACCATAGGAATTCCGTATGATATTGACTATCTTCTGAGGCACGCCTGAGTGTCGAAGAAGCCTCCATAGTGTTTTCCTGTGATGAATTCCATCCGATTGATTGTTCCACAATGATCCGTAGTGTTACAATTTGGTCTGCACGCGATCGATCCTTAAGGAATCCAGCCTCTTGGTCTTGAAGTTTGGCGTCTACGCAGTTCGTTCTTCATAACCTCACTCAAATTTCCTTTTATTCTAAGCCAAATTAACTTGACTTGGAACAGATAAACACTAAAATGAATTCTAGATGAAAGGACTTTGAGGTTAGGACGAACATCTAGACATGAAGATCTTGAGTTCGATCCCTGTTGGGACTTCAATGAAAACATAACAATAGTCATTTTAAGGGATATTGTATACACACTAAATAGTATGAAATCCTTATCATCCAGCAGATTCTGATCAGGCTACTATAATTGAAATAATGTATAAAACATAATGACATAATGAACAGTAAGTGATCTACTTGAATGCTATTACGAGTTCACATTACTCGGTAAACGGAACGAAGGTCAAAGATACAGTGACATGACAGGCTATTCTAATCTGTTGTCCCCGGCCCTGTTAACTAGGTCAAGTAGTCTTGATGGGGCGTAGAGAATGTATTCTACAAGCACCCAGAAAATACGAGGTCACTAAGCACACAAATCAAGTTTGTTTATACAGTGATAGAAACGCCCTTGGTAGGGCCACAAAATAACGTACTAACAAAATCTGTCAAAGATTTCTGAGTGGGAAATGTAGGCTATAAGTCAAGTAAGCGTCTCTTGACGCGAAAACATAAAATCCGAATTCTCAGAATAAAATTACAAAATTAGGACCTTTTTCAACAGTTAGTAGGTTCAACAATAACCGATATAACCCTTAATAAACAATCATTAATGTTTCAAATGGATTTTAATTCTGCTAATTTATTTCTAAAATATTTTGTATAAGATTATATCAATTATGCTGTATAGAAGGAAATGTATTCATTTGGACAAGATAAATTATTTAAGTTATGTAAACAATCATTATTTGACCGTGTTGTGCGTATTAATTCAAGTGACCGATTGCTCAATTCGTACAAATATACCTCTATCACGACATGAACATTAAGAAATGCTCTTATAATAGATATCAACAATTATTTACCTTTGATAACAAGGATTGACTGCCAGTTTCATCTCTACAGCATTTTCTATCATCTTACAAGCATACATTCCAGATAAAGCATAAAATAGTTGACTGATATGATGAGTGCAAGTTATGACTAATAGTCAGGTCTTAATTGATAGAAGAGCTGATTATTTTCCCTAACTTATTTCCAACATTTAATAATGGAATCTTTTAAACTGGTATTTTTTACTTGTATTTTCACAAAAATTGGACGAAACGAGCGTCCTGGAGTCCACTACTAGTCACTATCCATCTTTGCTTATGGAATCTCTTTGTTATTAATTCGTATAAAAGCACGTTATTTATTTAAGTGAAGAACCTATTATTAAGGCTGATAATCTTGATGATACAAGCTCAGTCGACACATGAAATAACAGTGCACATCAAAAAATCTAATCTGTATTTCATTAATGAAATAATCTAACTGCTTGATTGACATATAATTCTCATTTAAACATTAAAAACATGAAATTCAGCAAGGAGATCTCATTTCAACGAATTCATTATATATATGAAGGTTTTTAAAAAATTAAAGTATGAGTTCCGTGAAGACATATAAAGAAGAAATAAACATGATGACGTGATAGAAGGATTGTAATACTAGATTACGTGTTTAGTGGCCCGTGATTTGACTCCAATTAGATCATATATTTATTACTATTGAATGAGTGCTATCGAAATATATATGTCGCCTATCCTCGTATATAATTATCGACTTAGATAGGGTTAATGAATAACGTAACTAAATAAGTCAAATACGAGAATGGATTACGAATACATATAATTCCGTACAATTTCTGATCGAGACAAACGATCGAAGAAACGAAGCGAAGGGAGTAAAGCGAAATGCCGCGCAGTGGACGAGGCGTGTGAGCCAACTCCATTTAATCAAGCGTTTGTCAATATTTATAGTCGCACAAAAATTAGCTACAGATATATGAGTAGGATAAGAAGCGTACATACATACATATAAGAACAGTCAAGGTTGATAAGCGAATTAACATGAACAAAACATGACTCAAGAATAATGGATAAATTGATCTGTTCCGAAGCTAGAATAAGCTATGTGGGCTCAGTATAGGACCATCCAATACACGTGATATGAATATAATAATAGTATTAAACGATTGTGTGTGTATGTGAACATACAGATATATGTCTTGATGAGATCGATACTTTGACAAAGATTTTCATATATATTTATACGATTGTACAACTTAATAATGAAGTCGTTGGAGAGAGGATCGCTTTGTTGAATTTCATGCTTTTAACAACTTTTTTACATTTAAATATTATAATCAGAGAGGGGTTTCATGGATAATATAATAATTTAGTGATTGAATTCATAGGTCATTTGCAGCTAGATCAACACTGGACGTTCTAGTATGGGACTCCTCAGTAGTACGCATTCACGATTCCGTCTAGAGGTTAAGCGCTCGCGCGCGAGACTGATAGGTCCTGGGTTCGAATATCGAGAGGCGGGACCGTGGATGCGTACTCCTGAAGAGCCCCATAGTAGGACGAAACGGCTGTCCAGTGCTTTCAGGTTTTCCATGGTTGTTTAGCTTCAACTGACTCATGAATTCAACTACTGAATTTAATTATTAACTGTAGCTCATATATATAAACTTTACGAATCTTGAAAACTGAACGGTTAATTTGTTTCCTTTATTTCTTCCAAAAAAATAGTCCAAAAAGTTCTATTTATTCAACTAATATCCAGTCAAATAATTTATGTTAGTTATTTTCTAATGACCTTATATACTATCCACACCTACATCAAAATAATGTATCTATAGTAACTAATATTTGATATAAGGACATTCAGTATCTTAGACTTGGTAATTATTTATTGTAAAATGATTGATTTTATCACCTTGATAATATGATGAGTAACTGAAAGATGAAAGCAAATATCGTTGTCACTACAGAAAATATTAAATAAAATAACAACTTTATAAATGATTAAGACGTATAAGCTTTTCTAAGCGTTCTCGAATCAAAAAGCAAACACAACTTTTAGCAAGTAGGTCATAATATAATTGATGGCTAACAGTGAAATTCTAACTGTACATTTGAGCCTATTAACAATTGACTATCCGAATGTATCTACGTTTCTGTTAATATAACTAACAAGACTTGAACGTAACTAATGAAATACAGTTTAAATATGAATGTTATAATGTTAACTAAATCATAAAGTATAGCTTCGCTTGTCTGACTTGATTCCACAAAGAATAAATAACCAAAAAGTTGAGAACAGATATGTGATACTAAATTGTTTTGGAGTGCTTTGTTCACAGTAATGTGTTTTTCACATTAATTACAGCAGTGAAAGAAATCAGCCGGGAACCTTTGATCTTTTTTAAGTGGACATCCTATAGTTTTATGAACAGTGCATTCGAGTTTATTTCCTGCGCCATAAGAATTGATTATAACCACCTACAACTAGATAAAATAAAACGGAAGCAGAGAGCACGGAACAATAAAAGCAATAATTACTACGATAGGTCAGTCGGGTCTACCATAACATGTGTCAGGTTATTAAACAAATTAGTTAAGTTTATCAGGGACGATGTTAGTGTAACGTAACAACTGCGCGGAGGTTTACTTAGCATATTCAGTAATAAAAACTATTAAGTATTTGAAGTTACTATAATCTCACTTGTGCAATGAGATATACTTACAGGTGTCAGCACATCTAAGCTGTCTTTAGAAGAAAAGTAAGTATCGATATAGCGGACAAAGGATGTCAGTAATTTTATTTCACGGACAGATTGTGAAAAATGATTCGTGTCAGTGTTATAGGAGTGGTCGAACACAAACTTGACTCATTAAAATACGTGACTCGTTATGGAAGTTATGAATTATGCAAACCATAGGACGTTGGGACTTGGAAGACTCTTTCGAGATCTGTTCCGCGAGGGACAAATTGTAATAGTATCTAAGTCCCAAGTTCACTAGTGAATGTAACTTAAATAATATCTGACCATTTATAGTAAGACCTAATTTGAGCGATGTATGACCGAAGCACATCCATCCGACTGCCATTTTGAGCACCACTAGGCTATCTTACTGAGCTCCATATTGGCGCAACACTGTATATTCTCCAAATGATGAAGGGAAAATGAATACACTACTTTAAGCTCATCTTTATGTAGAAGAGGCTTACCCATACCCATATCACTGGTATAGACTAAAAAAAGCAAATGACTTAAGACATTACTAAAAATCAATTTAAAATTATTATCTTGCATGGTATAATGTGTGTTGTGCACCACTATATCCTGACTTGTTTCGCTCAGAACTAGTTAAAACTCTAGTATATATATCTGTTGGCGTGATCCAGAAAACTTCCTGCAAAAGACAAGAAAGGCTCAGGAAACACTAAGAAGCATTTTATCCAATCAGCGTTCAGTTGAAGTTTAGCCAGAAACATCAAGAAAGTGAAGAGTCACATGTAGAGTTTCTGAATGGCTGATTACTATATTGCTACTATGTTTAGTAGCGTCCCAGAATTTTCGGGAAACCCAAGGACATCTAAAATACTATAAAACCCCCATATTTTCTGCACAAAAACGAACCTTTGGAGTAAAGTACTTCTCGCATATTTTGCGCCTTTTCTCTAGTGTTCAGGTCGCTATGTAGTTCTAGCTTGAGAGTTACGAGAATAACGTTCAATTAGCAAGACTTATCAATATCAAAATGTATTTAATCTAATCTTACTTGAGTAAATGAACATTATTGAGTTTTATTTTTACCTACTGGAACTGATTATATAAAACCCAATAAGGGAAATCAAATAATCAGTTCATTCACACTTGTCACTGACATTTTTATAAACTCATGAATATCAAATTATTCCGGGTGGTAGACAAAACTTTTCAGTGAAGTTGTATGTAGTTTTACTTAGATTAAACTATTCCCTGTAAATTTAACATTTATTTACGAAAGTAATGCTTGTATTTTATTTATTTGAACACATAAATATTGGTACAAAGCGGCACCGAATACACTTGCGCCACACAAGTCACTTGATTTGTGTATAGACTGTGATACTGCCCGGGTGCATAGATCGAAGCAGGTGGTTTTCTTGGGGGGCCACACCCAGAGCCTTCGGCCTAAAGGTTTGATCCACAAGACAGTGGAGCAACGTTTAGAGATGCAGTCCCACGGTAGTCAGTGGCCAACAATAACTTCATAAAACATTTGTTCCCTCAGGATCCTGGAGCCTATGTACACCATTGGTTTGAAATCAAGGTTTTCCAACTCCCTTGGGTGGACCCTTCACATCCACTAACCCGGTTAAAGCGCTGGACATTCGCTTTTCGTCCACTCAACTTCGTAAGCAACACCCCCGCCACACGAAGGCAGTGAGTACGACTTCCCTGGAAACATTTGTACATGCGTGACCATGTGAGAGCGTTTCGAGAGGGAGAGTTAACTCTCCTTACCCTCATCCGTACCAGGACATTGGGGAGCCAACATTTCCATACTCACTTAGTTTTCGATAGACCATCTTGTGATATGATAATTAACCAGGCAATTTATCAATAAAACCAAATCTGATATGAAATTTACTAAATAATTATAAAATCACTTATGAAAATAAAATCAAGAAAATTTTTTTCTTGGTCACTGACCGATGTGCATTCAACCAATCCCTTCAAGACTTTAGGTATATCACTCCAGTAAGTCATAACTAATAAAGAATCTATAGGGTTCCTGTCTTCAATCACTTAATATTAATTGAAATCACAGCCCATCAGTCTGTTTCTCTAATCTAATTTTTTACAATTCATAAATAAATAACGTAAAAAATAAATCTTGTTCTCTTTGGGATAAACTCAAGTGATTGTGAGTCTACTGAGTGTGTCATTCAAGTCAATTCGAGCAATCAAATGTTGACATTATTTGCCTTCAAACGAAATACTATGAGGTTAAATTCTAGTACAAGACCCTGTAACTGATTAATTAGTTACATTACTGCCAATGCTATCGAAAATTTAAATATGATCAAACTGTTGAAGAAAACAAACTAACATCTTGTTTATTACGTAGAGTTAGTAGATCTCTGTTAGTTAATCCATAGTCTGTGAATATACTTGGACTTATAATTGATCCAACACCAGCTTCATCACCGTAATGTGCGTGATCAGTAGTTCTACGAAACTGATAAAATGCAAAGGAACAAGATAAACACATATATTATTTGGTCTATTTGAATACAATCAACAAATAAAATGGTATATATTTTAAATGTTTCCCCCTTTCAGTCCAAAAAATGTTATTACTACTTGTTGAAAAGGTTTAAAATCACTTTGATTACCAGTATAGGGGCTGTGGTGATTATCAAGTTTTGGGTTGAGATCATGAACCGACTGATGTTAGATCACCGTTGGAAACCTGGAAGCAGTGGAAGGCCGTTTCGTCCTATTGCGGGACTCCTCAGCAGTGCGCATCCACGATCCACATCGCGGGATTCGAACCTAAGGCCTTCAGACTCGCGCGAGAACACTTAATCTACTGAACCACTGAGCCGGTATCCAATGGTGTCAATGTCTAACATCAACCAATCCACGAAATCGCGCGGTGGTCTAAAATCAATCGGTTCATGATCTTAATCACTTTGATTAACTTGAAGATATTCTGTTTCTCACGATTAATATTTATAAGAGTGTGCTTGAAAACCAGGGAGCACTGGATATATGTTCGATTTTCTCCGTGGAAAGCTTGCTATTATGTATTTCCCATTAAGATTCTTAACTCCCTTTCACTTTGGTATGGGACATCTCAACATTGTGTAATCACTAATGTCTCCACTGATCAGACCCAGAACCTTCTCATTTCATGACAAGCACTTAATTAATGACACCATTCGGTTGCCATCACATGGTAAAATTTCAGCTCCAGTTATTCCGATATCAGTTTGAAATCAGTCTGTGACCAATATAATTGGTTTAGAATAGCTCACACCAATCACTAATGTTAAATGAACAAGTTATATGTAAAATAGTCTCAGTGATTAAAATTTAGAATATCCCAACGTTGAAATTATTTAAATTTCAATCGTCGACATCATTTCAGTATGATACTGATATTTTATGTCTTTTACATAGTGAGCGCCCAGTTTCTAACAAATTATTCCTTCGAATTTTGAAGAATGCTCATTGTTATATATTCAAAACCAACTAAATGTTGAGGTGTATGTTGTCAGGTTCAACCAGTCTCACTCAATAAGTCATTAGTAAATGTTATAATAGACCTGGTTACTTCTTCAGTCCACGAGTAGTATTTTCTTGTACCAGATCACTTAGATAAATAATTCAAGTAAAAACCAAGTCTTCAAGTTACGTAATTGATTTTAATAAACCTTATTGACATATAATTTAAATTCATGAGTCAATTAAAGCTAGATCACTATAGAAAACCTGGAAGCACTGAACGGCCGTTTCATCCTAGTGTGAGACTACTCAGGACTTCTAAAGAATCCAACTATCAAAATTACTATAATATCCACAAAATCCCCTCTCTGAATATAATTTAAAGTTAGTAAATGATTACTTTTCACAAAATTGACATATCGCGACCATTAAAGAATACTTACTACTTAAGGGAAAAAAACTCGTATTATGATAGGACTATAATTGTTATAGCATTTTGTTTACCTTGAAAAATGTGGCATTTTACCTTAGGTACTAATTTATCAAGTTGAAGGCTTTTTTCACCAAGGATTTCCCAATTATCTGTATTAATTAATCCATTAAGATTACCAGTGTATATGGAATTTGTTGTTGTCCAATGATGAATATTTGCTTGAATAGCACGTTGAAGACGACTGCGGACATTTTCAGTATCTATTATTTAAAAAAATACATTTCAATAAAATTAACTATTGATAGTCATTTCTAAGGACTTATATTTGTTTGGCATATATTGTTGGCTAACATAACTCAGTCAACTAGTGAATAAAGCGCCTGTGTTTGAAACAATGAGTACAGGATTAGAATCTCAACGTACCAACGATACCATGATATCAATGAATCAATCTGACAAACCTTAAAACGCCTGGGTTTCCAATTTTATATTAATCCACTATTCAAAATATAAATCTGAATATATTTCTGATCAAAAATCAGAATGAATTGAAATCCAATCAACAATGAAATGAATGATAAACAAGAGAAAGTGATTAAGCGAATAGATTTCTTTTGGGGACGATTTCATTCTTAAAGCTGCGAGTTGCCAATAAATAAAGTTATTTAAAAACCTCATTATTGATAAAAGATAATTTTGTTCATAAACTACCCGGGTATTCCTAAAATATTAGAAACCTTGATGATAACCTGCTTCGAGAAGAATTTTTTGAAGTTCTAATGAGAAATCATGACCACTTGATTTCAACCAAGTGTATAGAATGAAACAGAAATAATTGGTTTTTTTCATTTTTTCTTTTACTCATAAACTGAAGATATGAACGTGAACTTTTAAGTGTTAGCCGACTCACTGGTCTGAAAGAGTCGTATTAGCTTCAATACATGAAAGTTCCATTCGGATAGGAACTACATTCTCATTACTTTTTCTGGATGTCAACATTTTCTTCAACTGAACAAATCTCTATCTAATCATGTTAATTCTTGATAGAAATTATTATTACAAGCTTATAAACTTAAAATTTATTCATGCACTAACTTAATCAAGAATCGTTGAATAAATTGGCGGGTAAGCAATCAACCTACTGTAATAATATTTCCTAACTTGAAACAATAAGGAGTAAATACATTTTTACCATAATAGTAGGTTTAACATTATCATCCTGATCTTTCACAGTTCAAGAATGTTTGGATATGATAGCGCATGCCTTTACCATTTATCCTTATTAGATACTCGCTCTTAAAATACTATTCTGTGATATTGATCAGTTTAGTTGTCTTTTTTGAAGCATAACTGCTTTTCCTTTCTTCATACTTCGGAACATTTTATAGCGTGTTGTTGTGTAGTGCTTGTTCGATTTATCGGCAAGACAATAATTAATGGACGAGTCAATCAGAAGTGTTTGGGGGATTTCAGTACTTGATGCTCACGTACGATCGGTTCACAGTGGATTTGAGAGAAAACGTGATAATTGAGCAACTACAACAAATGGGACTACTAAAAAGTTCCTTCATTTGTGATTGTGGTAATCAAATGACTTATGAACCTTGTGCGGACTACCGTAATGGTGTTGTCTTCCGATTTAATATGTGACGGAGGAAGAAGTCTGCTAGAATATGATTTTTTGGCTCGATCAAGATCAAGACTATGGTAAACTATGACTGAATAAAAAAAGCACCCGTAACACTGACTGCTACCGGGTACTACAATATATACAGGTGATTGGAGAGTGTACAGATACTTACATAGACTTGATTATTTGCATCGTGTCGTTATCCACAAGTGATATTTTTTGAGCCTAACAATCGGAGTGCACACAAACACTATTGAAGCTATGTGGTTGAGGCTGAAAGGGTTTTTGCGACCTTATCATGGCTCCAGATGCCGACTATTATGAAGCCATATGGATGATTCCCTCTACCATATGCATTGCGATTTAAGAACCTCTGAACCTCTTTCGAACCTTAACAAGTTTTCAAACCATGTAAAAGAAGTGTATTCACTTTAATTCTTTGGTTTTGTATATATTTTTACTCTACGCTAGGCGTTTTCTGATTGGCTAATATTTGTCAAGGTCACTTAAGGTTCGTTCAAAGGTCGTCCATAAATTATAGTCTCGCAGATTTATCTAGTTGTATCAAATCGGCTTTTATATTAGAAATAACTTCCGTAACGATATTTTCGTCATCAACTTATACAAATCACATTTACCTAGTCAAAAAATAATCTAAGAATTTAAGATAACATGATGTCCATTATTTATAAGGTAAAGAATGAATATAAACTCAACCAAACGAATGATATACGACAAGAACACCTCAACTGTTGGAAAAGCACGCTAACACAGATCTCTTACAAAATAGTTTTTTCTATTCTTTTAGAAATTTAAAATCATGGTGATTCAGGTCCTTGTGTAAAGTCACTCATTCATCTAAAAAAACCAGATAAAGCAAGCTGCGTTGAATATGTTGGCAAAAATCATTAAGGACTTATCCATTTCTGGTTTAGTATAGTTATAATTCAAACTGCGAAACTAATACTTTTGGGTTATTATTACTACCACATGGAACTATACTTTAATGAAATACTTTTCGAACTTAACGTACCCTCATAACATTCTGGTTTAACAATACTACTATTATTATTACTAGTAATAGTAGTAAAACCAGGACAGCAATTTCGCATAGATTTATCATTATTCCAATTCAATAATTCACTTAATTTACACCAATCAATTGCCCAATTAATCATATCATTCTCAATCTGATAATGTTTCTCATTATTTATATTGTTCGCTTTATTATGCTTTATACATTCTTTAACATGTTCAATCATTTCATTTGACGCTGGTACTGTGATTAAATCAAATAAATGTTCTGTTAACTCTTCATCTAATGGTACTTGAAAATGATTAAAAATTTGACGTGCATCAATCATTGGAATAAGATTCGACTAAAGTTTTTTTGAAAAAAGAAAAAAAATGTACATAATTACTTCGGTGCTAGAAACTCATGTTTACTTAACTTGATATTCAAGACTGAGTGAAAACAAGGTATGTGTGTACATGAAATCTAATGTCTAGGTTATATTATTATTTTCATAACTATTGATTATCATAAACTCTTAGGGAATAAAGAACAAGTATGCTTTCTTTCAACTTACAACTTATTAGGCTCATAACTCCACTATCTTTTAGATAATACAGTTTATTTTCGTCAAATCAATTAGATTAGTAGCTCAATGAAAAATGCTGTACTTGTCATATCTCCATTTGTGAAACAAAATATTCTCGAGTTAATCCAAAACGGCAATAAGAGCACCTTTCTGAGAAAAAGCTTTATAAAAGATTGAATTTTCTTCTCTTGTTCCAAAATCGGCAATCAGTAGACGAGGTAGGGAAAATTAGTTCACAGAAAGTCTGGGCTTGTCTAGAGAGGTCGCGTGATGTCTATAAAGACAACCAGTCACCTTCCATCTGAAGTCGCGAACGAGATATTTCTGAGGAGGCATGCGTTGGAGGAGGTAAAAATGTCTGAGCTAAGGTGTCTGTGCCTGGGGCAGAAAGATAAATTTACAAATTTGGTTCTTGGAATTATACTTTCTTACCAGTCTCAGTTTTCTAATTTCGGATAGGGGCTTTAGTATTATTTAGGAAGCACTTATTGCGAATAAGTCGGACCCCGAATCCAATGCTCACTGATTACATTTGTTTAAAATCGGGTGATGATGAAATTAGTTTTCTAAAGTATCGCGCTTTCTTCAAAACTCTCAGATTTTGATTTCAATACCCAAAAACGTCGTCCGTAAAACTACTAGTTAGTCTCAATCTATTGTGTAATAGCTGTCCGTTGCTTTCTAGACTTCACTAGTTCTCCTGATGTACATTTTGGACAAAATTCCTTCCCAAGCTGTGAAATTCCCTGCAAAATGCTTTAGTGATTTTACCATATACATATGCTTAAATGAAACAATTAGAAATACGATTAAAACGCAATTCCAATAGTAACAAGAGGTACAAATGCTACAATGAAAGGCAGGGCACTTGTGCTCTCTAACACATCAGGCTAGGGAGTATCCACTTGCATGAAATATAGATTCAGAGTTTTCAGCCTTAATGACAGTGTTCTTTTTTAACTTGTTATAGCCGATTATAAGCAGTCCCTTAAATTTATAAAAACACATAGACCTCAACGAGAAATATTTGCAAGTACGTTCAATTGTTGCATGCTGTTTCAAACAGAAAACAGACTTTTACCGAATTTAGAATAACAAATATTTTTCATTTATAAGTTGTCTTCACTGATTACAAAAGTAAGATATGATCAGATATTTTTCAATGATTTTTCATTCACTTGACTGGATGAATTATTTCTAAAGCTTTATCTCTTTAAATAAAACCTCTGAAAAATTGGTGAGATAGAGCAAAAAGATGACTAGGGAGTTTATCAAGGGTATAACATTCAGGTCATTCACTATTCGGTAAAATTGGATGGTATTGGATAGAACCAGTCCGTTTTTGAATAAAAAAGACTGATTATCATGTAAAGTGTTGTATTTTAAACTATGTAAAACAGCACAGTCAAACTGGATGCACAAACAATGACAACACAGTTATTGATAACATTCACTCAAATTGCATTTTGACAACACAAACTACCAATTATTTGTGGCCGAATTTCTGAAAACTTCCGTTGATGGCTGTGTTTAACTACATCTAATGAGAGCTTCATGGTTTATCCATTCAACACAGATAAAGCAACACCACTGATATTCTTTCTCTGTGATAAATCCTCTTCAACCAGTCAAATAATTAGGTTGTGACGAATAATTTTCATACAACTTAAGCTTTATCACAGTTACTTGATACGAAATTACAACAGAGAATCCACTGTTACTCATTATATCCTTCTGTTAAGATTTTCATAAAGATCCTTTTATTTTATTACTGAATTTCATCATAGATTTATACCAGTTGAAACATCGTTGCCAATCACGAAGCATTATACATCTATTTTGTCCTTCCTCCGAATAGTAATTCAAACCATAGCCTTTATACCACTGGAACAGAATCTAATAATCTGATTTTTAATTTCAATCTATTTGTAGTATAGACCAGTGATTAATCATTGTCTTACTCCCGATATCACTGAACTCCATTGATCATCTCAAAAACATGTCTAGAAGCAAGTTCCTAATGTACTGGTGAAATCAATAAGTAATCAAAACCACGTACGTCTTCAATGACTTACCTTATTAGCTAGTTGACAAAGAGTGGCGATAATTTCTGGTCCATGTGTGTAATGCGCTTTTCTAAGAGCATGATGAATAACCGACATTATTAATTTGAACCTATCACTGTACTCTGTGTATTTTTTCTTGTTGAATTCACTTTGTTTATCAATGCTACTGTCGTCAGTATATAATCCAGATATATTTCTTGGTAATAAACCATGTAGTAGCTGGCCAACTGTAATATCATTATTTTTATTAATTAACCCAAATATATGATCATCAGGAATTTTCATTGTATCACGTATTCTATTTTTAACAATCAGAATATAATGTCATATGATTAGTCATGAGCCACTTCATTATTACCAATGCGAATAAGCAAATAAAAATAATAAATATTACTTTTATAATACTGATCAGTTTCTGTCCTAACACATCAATGGGAAGATTCAGGCAGCCAATACAAATAAAGTAGATGAGATGGTTTAAAATCTACCACAGTGTCACAGACGAATAGGTTCTTATCTCTCCACTAGATCTTCAGTTTCAATAATGTTTTACATATTTCCCATATACCTTACTAATTTCATCTCACTGTGTCCATATGGTACAGCGATTCAGTCGAATGTTTGCTTGAACTAGGTATTATGTTATTTCAGCTTACTGAATGATCGACATTTCAGTTATTGTCAACTAAAAATGCCACAGTGCGATAGATGTTCGAAGGGTGCAAAAGTAATCAATTTATAAAAATAGACTAGTGGCCTCAAATTATTCTTTACAGCATAAAACGTCCAATCACTAACTTTGTATTGTAACTAACTAGTGGTTTGCTCAATAAACAAAAGTTATTGATGCAGAATGGTGAGGGTGATATTTTGTTAGAATTCCTAATTAAATAACTAAAACCTGCTACTCATCTCAAGTATATTTGTGTTTTGTTTAGAGGCATTTTGATAAACATAGTTAAGATTTATTTGAAATATTCTCTGTAACCTTATTTCTTTCTTAAAACAACATATACACCTTAAATTAAACGATCACTTGGTTCTCCAAAATATCATGTACCAGTTTAAACATATCACAATGTTGTCTCGAAATATCGGCAAATACTTGCGTTTACTCTAAAGCTCAGGTGTAATAATAAAATAATTATATATATACTAGGACGTGCTTCAGTTACGAGATCAGATAGTGAGCTTTGGACCAAAAAAATGAAATTTATAAAAAGCAATTTCAGATGAAAATTTCCAACACAATAAGGCATATAATTTACTATTTAAATCATATGACATTTATGGAAAATTCATTTCCCTCAGGTTTTTATTGAAATCATCAATCATTGGATAGTCACTCTAACCGTTGAAGCTACCGTTTGTTTGCTTCAGTTATTTCAATGACTTCCCTATAGTGTTTTTTTCTCTTAAAATGCATTAAGAGAGATATAACACGAGGTCAGTTCATTTTGAACTTTCCCCACTATTCCAATACAGTTAATGCGCTTTAAAAATGGAATCACAGGGGAAATACCTATTGCTTCGTACGTAACTATTTCGTAATACAAAGTAGTGTTTGAAAAAAATAACTTACGGATCTCTAACTTTACCCAAAATATCACCATGCTTCATTTTGTGATCACTTTGTGTTTTGTTCATAATGGCTATGTTCTGATTGTTAGAATCACTAAACGTCCAATTCATAGCTCGACCTACGTGTATTCCACGTGGGTCACAATTTGTATGCATACCAAATACTTGTTTATCATTAAAACTTGGTGTGTTGATAATTGTAATTAAAAAAAGCAATATGATCAGTAGTAATGTTTATTTTAACAATAAAATTGTGTAAAATGTCCCTGAGGTTTTTTATCTACGCATCTAAATAAATTAAGGATTGAAAAGATCCTCAAAATCGATATATTTAGTTAAATAAATTATATCGAAGCATATTGTCAGACGATGACTAAAAGTAAAGCCTACAAGTATTTTCTCCCGTAGAACACTCGTCAATCTACATTTGGATGTCTATATTCCTTCCTAGGGCTTGAACCCGGAAAGACATATCGATTCAGTGCCAAACTTAGCAACGTGAAGCGATAACTCCTTGTAATTATTCACCACAAGGAGTACCTACAAAATATCTCAGTAATTGGCTACTCCAATGCATGAAAACTTTCCGGGATGATTTTAAATAGGTGATTCATCATCTAATCTATAACTTATGGGCGTGAAAAATTGATCTCAATGTTTTATTTTCTGTGTATATTGGTGTACAGCACTTCATGTGCGATATCAATTGAACGCGTTGGTCTTCACGTCGTATGTGCTACGAGCTTACTTTAACCGACAAACTACTGAAGAAAAGGTAGTAGTAGTGAACAACATCGACTATTCAGTGATGTGTACCCTGGGATTTAAAGTCTCACAGCGTGCATATTGCCTTTGGATTACTTAAGTTAAATCCAGAGCATCATATTTCTAATGCCATTCATTTCACAAAACAACATGACGACCAACCACTTGCCTCATTTATAATAGTCTTACTCGCAATACAGTTCACCTCCACTAGTCGAAAATTCACACCAGAACCTTGGAAATTTATCTCAACATTAATCACCACTGAGTCCATGATTATCTTTTAACTCGTCAGTTCTAGACTAATGACAAATTATGAGTTTGCTAAATTCAGTAATAGTTCAAGTTTTTCATGGTTCGATTTAGTATTCGCTTATTTAATTAGCAGTGCGTTGTAATCCTTTTATCAAAATAAAGCACATATGAAGGTGGTATTTAAAGTCATATATTTAACTTTAATTACTGAGTTGTATGCTTCTACATTTTACCTCTTAAATAAATCACAGGCGTCAGGAACTTATAATAAAAATCTGATCTTTGTTTCCAGAAAACGTCCATACACCCTTCTTCACAGTTTGCTTTTTATTTTACCGCTCACGCAACTAGTTTAATAAACTGTCACTTGAGGCTTTACCTCATTTTTTGTCAAATAAGGTGCTATTGCAAATTTGTGGTACACATTTAAATGACTGGTTACCATTAGTCCTACGTTCATTTTTATTCGTAAATGCCAAATCAACATAGATTTACGTAGTTGTAGATAGTTTAAAAAAACCTTGACCCTAAGTTACATTTCAGTTGTCACTTGTTACCAAGACGCATCTAGAGTGCTGAATGGATTGATGCCCTCACAATCTGTCTCACAATCTGTGACTTTGCCAATGAGCCATTTGAACTACAGCGGACCTCCTGTGAAACTGAGGTATTTGCATTGATTACCAACTGAACTGCTATCATTTTTATATTTGTATCGGATTGAGTGATGACTGCATTTTACGGATAAAACTCCAGGTAAGCCACTTGTATGGAGCTTAGATTAAGAATATCTTTTCGATTACATATGAGAACCTAACATCAAAATATTTCATGTGATAGCAAGTTACTTGAATTAGTGGTCAAGCTGCAACATTATTTACAGAATTTAATTGGCATCAAAGTAGGAGACAAACATGAAATTATTCACCATTCAGTAATCAGTCATTATAAAATGAAACTTATCTTAGTTGAGAGCCATGATGATAAAGATACAATTAAGGAGTTATATTTCCTCGATTATTTTATATTTTTAAGAGATGTATACCTCATAAACTCACTAATCCATACATGTTTTAACAGTAAACATTATTTGCAGATATGCAATTTGACTAACTTTTTATAATTTCTATGCGCCTGCTCACCAGGGGATAAATGTTTATGCGAAATGAGATAATGTTGATGATTCTCTAATTCTTCATTTGTAATATCAATACGTTTTCTTTGTGGGTTTATTAAATCTCCAGCTCTTTCCCCTAGATAAATGAGAATTCCGGTTACATTCTGGTAACATAGCAATCAAGATGATGGCATTAACTTTGTGACACAACAATACTTGATTTCTTGTGAGACTCTCTATACTTAAAATGAGGTCATGAAAACAAACAACCGGATCCATTTTCTTGCTTAACTTGATCTTCGATGCAAAGATAATTTCATTTGACAAAATAAGTCAGCAATTATAAAAATAAAGTTTTATCTAATATTATTGTTAAAATATCGTAATTGCATGCTTCCTTTTTACTCAAGCTGAGCACACTTGTATGTTTTAACCTTTATGGTCATTTAACTTTTTGTCTGATTGAACAGGATAACTAAGCTGTCATTGTTGTTAAAGAGTACCTTTTTCTCTAATATATCTAATTATTGTATATAGTTTCAAAAATTAAACTGACATTCCACTTTGAAGATGAACATAAAACAGTAGGACATAAGTGAAGTTAAAAAGACCATACAACGAAGGTGAACGGATATTGTTCATCATGTCAGTCTATTCTTTAGATTTAACAGATCAATAAATCAGTTTTTATTTTGTGTCCTAATAACAAATTACAACACCCAAGGTAAATATTTCTTTCTAATTTTTAGTAAACGTAAACAATGTAGACCTCGCATGTTCACTCATCACTACCTTTTTACGATCAGTACATTTATTTAATTATCACGTTGACTTAACCTTTTTCATATATCATTCCAAATGTTGTTTTATATTTATCCAAATGAGGTGGTAAATCTTGTATGGATGAACATCCAAGTGGCCGTTTTTTAGTTGAATCATATATTGCTTCCTGATTTCTCGTAATTATTTCACTTAATAAAGTTTCTTTTGTTGGTCTAATTAAATCCATGATTTCAGTCCTGAAAAAAATTAAGATGAATAAACATAACTAAACTGGGTTAATTTGAATCCAAATATGTCGCAATATTTAAAACTACTCAATGAGTGAAACTGCTCTACTTCTTAGCGATTTTTTGTAAACGGTGTTCAGTGCCATATCATTAATAAATGCTGACATTTGTAGTATGTGCGTTGTCAGTTAGCATATATTCAGCTGATAGGTTTGCGGAAATTAGTAAGAATTATGGCTGGGTTTTATCACAGATTCGTGTAAGCTCGGCAGATATTACAAACCAAAGAACACTGTACACCCATTTGGTTGTAATATATGACTAACCAACAATTTCCACTCACGATAGTAAGCTCAACATATTTAGTGACCTATCTTTTAGTTACCCATAGTTCAGAGATGTAAAATGCCAATTACTTGTGGTAGTTGTAAATCCTTCATTCTTGACGCTTGATCTCGTTGGCATAAAAATGTACTTGATGCACCACTCTGTAGTACACTTGACACTTTATAAGCAGTATAGCGTGTTGTTAACCTCAAATCATGAACCGGTCAATGTTAGACGACCATTAAAAACCTGCAACCAATGGACGGTGGTTTTGGCCTTGTATGGAACTACTTGTCAGTGTTCATCCACGATCCTACACGCGGGCCTCAAACCCAACATTCTTCGCATCACACGAGGACTATTAACCTCCAAACCACTGAGTTTGTATTCAACGGTGTCAATCTTTAAAGCCAACCAATGCCATGCTAAGGCGAAACCACTGTTCGTCGGTTTCAGGTTTTTGATGATGGTTTCAAATCTATAACTTCATGATTTCAATGAAATTTGAACAATTTCCACAACCTCAAACAGACGATTTTAAAAGTTGCCCTATATATCCAAGCCGGCATTTTGTTAGTACTCAGCTCATCATGACTAGAGCGGCCCTGAAAAAATTTAAGTAACCTTAACTTCAAACATTTTAATTTCCTTTCCTCATAAAAGATATTTGTGCGAACCGCTTTCAAGAACTTGGTATTATTAGTAATCTATTTTTATGTTATCCGATTGACCTAGCTACCTAACTAGATTCATTAAACGAGATATAGAATAAGAGTTTAATACTAGTTATTAGGACTATTCATAACGAACTTTAAACACAAATTTGTTTTCACTGTTCATATTAAGGATATATGACTGACAAGCTCATTTTGTGAATAGTTTTTAATATTATTTGTATTTATTTTGTCAATCTTTCACTGTATGTATATTTATCATTAAATGACTGTACCTGTTGTTTTAGTGAATGACCTTGAGCACATTATCCGTCGTGTTACTGACATAGCGTGACATACTGTTGCTTGCTGTCAAATATATTGCTATATACACATACCTTGTTCTACCTTCGTCTGTGATTGAGCTAGCTGCATTAAAAATCAAACATTATCTGCATTTACAGACTGTGAGTCGGAATATATCATACCGAACATTGGTTTACATTACTAGAGACTCCAACAACCTGAGCGGAATTACTGAACGTTTATAATTGTGGAATTTTAGTACCAGACCCAATCCGAAGACGCGTCAACTTGGTGAACTTAAGTAAAGTCCCAAATTTTCTGTTGTATTTGTAACTGTTAACATTATTATTTACTCTTTATAACTTGGCTAACACTTTTTCATGTTCATATTTGTCTGGTCCACCACAATATATTTAAATCAATTTAGCTGATGCTAAGTTATATATTGCTTAATGTAATTCAATAAAATCATTGTACTACATAAAATATGAAGTTTTTGACGTTTATTTCGGGTTTTAATAGCGTTTTAAGAGAACGAACATGATCGTTACAAAGTTTAGATACTTTGGATGATGTAGTGAAGTGCCTATTCGTTTACTCCCACGAGAACCACTACAGTAAGACAATTTTCTGTCAAAAACAAAGGTTCAAGACAAGTTTGTTGGTCATTAAAATATTTGAACGACTCAGACTCCACCATAAGCTATTTAAGTGGCATACAATCAGCTTTACTCCGTTGTTTTGCATAGAAGAAATGAACGCACAGTGCCCTTGCAGACATATCTATTAGTTGTCGAAACAACCAAGGATGCGCCTATGATTTTGCTTAGTAACACAAATTTATCTGGGCTGGTTGATAAGTGTAGAGACATAGGTAATAACCATAAGTTTTAAAATACAAAGCATAAAGAATTAAAACTTTGATTTCGATGCTGGAAGAAATTAAAGGATAATTGGCTTTTTAACGTTTTATCGACAAGATATACAAGAACAGTCGGTGAGACTCTAATTTATGGACGAGCCAATCAGAGGCGTTTTAGAGATCTCAGGGATACGACCTTTCTTTTTTATTTTACGGGCCGACAGTTTGCTCATTTTCTTTTTATTTCCACTTAGAAGTATTTATATGACATAAATACACTCCTTCGATAGGTTCAGTACTATGGCCTCACATAGCAAAATGTCGACGGTCTGCCTATACAAAATCAGTCATCATCCAAAAGCTTGTATCTCACAAACTTTTCTTTGCTGGCTACTTCATGTCGCATAAATCTTGCATTATCTAATTCAGGATCATTAACAAGAGTATGGAATAGTTTCCACTCGTTTGTGCCAGGCTTCACCCACCTGTTCGGTCTTTTAGTTATCTTCGGAGTTAACGTCTGAGCTCATGATAAAAATAAGTGCATATACTCCCCTTCAGTACACTCTATACAATCATTCATTCTATATTTATCGCACATCTCGCAAGAACCATTCTACAATAAGATGGATTTGTAGAACTATTTAAACAACAAACTGGTTCCAGATAGTTTGAATGACTCATCAAGAAGCCTTCCGTATTTGGTTGTACTTCATTTTAACCCCTTTGGTTTTTAAAAGAACCACTTACACGATATGCAGTAAATAGCTCAAAAATACGGCTTAGGTAGAAACAAAAAACCTGTGTTTGTAGTTCATTAAAACAAGAAACTCTCGACCTTCATTAAACGCAGGAAGTCCTTCTTGATCTCTCACCGGTGGATTTGAACTTCATGCGAGACAATGGTGAACTGATTACTTGGTAAGTTATGTGTTTTTTATGTTCACAAACTGTTTTTTCTATTTATTGAGGTAAAGAAATCCCCAATATATATATTGATATGTCCTTGATATTGATGTTGACCTCATTAGTTTTACTGGTGATACCCTAGCTGAAGGCAATTTGGTATGCTTTCTCATCAGATCATGTAAGCTATGCTTGGCACCACTTGAAACTGCCATCCAGCCTATATCAAACGCATCTTGACATGTCAGTTCCAGTTTGGAAAGGACAAGAGGCTCGATGGCCTGTGTCTTGGCAATGGTGGTCTCTCAGTTGATCCAACTTTCTTTTGGAAAAGCCGACGGATGTAGCCTCAATCACGTGCTGAGGTAAAGAATTCTACTTGTTGATCATTCAATGGGAAAGTCGATAGTCAACTGACAAGTAATTTGTCCTGGGCTTGTGAACGTTTTTGGAGTGTCCTCGTAAATTCTCTGTTTTGGAAAACAAGAAAAATGATAGCGTATCAGGTGCAAATTTTTCACTCAACAATTTGAGAACTGTAATCAAGTCGCCTCTAGTTCTACGATATGACAAACGGGAAAAGGTATAACTTGGCCAGTCGAGCATCAGTCGGAAGCTTCGCTATTCCAGGAATCAGCTTTGTTGCTGCTCTCTGAACCTTTTTCAAAAGTTCACTGTCTTGTTTTAAGCAGTGGCTAGCCAGTTGTATGCAGTACTTAAGTTTAGGACGTACGAATACTGTTTGCAAAGTCAAAAACTTTTTAGCGTCGACAAGAATAAAAGACTCTAATTATTGACCACGAATTTCTATAACCTTTGGCGGCTATTTCACGTCAGTGTTGAGTAGTCTTTAGGTCTTGACTAACGACGAACCCTAAGTCATTGTGTGTCTAGACAACAGGTAGCTCAGTGTTATTAATCGTGTATCTATCTGTACCTTGATGACCGATATACATCGCAATACACTTGGGAGTATTTACTGGCAACTATCAGGCTTGAAACCATTCAATTAATTTCTCCAGGTCATTTTGGAGTTCTAAGCTATCACCTTTACTTCGTATCACTTTCCACATCTTGACATCGTGAGCATATAGCAGGACCGATGATGATAGGTGGCGAGGAAGGTGATTTACATACAACAGGAATAACAATGGCCCCAAGACTGTACCCTAAGGCACACCACATAGCACAGTTCTCCAGCTAGATAACTTTGAGTTCATCCAACTAAGAAGTCTTTTATCCACATCAAAAAATTGCCGGTTGTGCGGAACCTTGTCAAAAGCTTTACTGAAATCAAGGAAGGCTACGTCTACAGGTAGCTTTTGGTCCTTAAGAGCGCACCAGCTTTCACGAGCCACTAATAAGTTAGTGAGACAAAAGTAACTTATTCTGAAACCATGCTGCTTCTCAGAAAGGATCCGGTTTTTATCGAGATACTTAAACAGCTCCTTCCGAATAATCTTTTCTAAGATTTTAACAATTACACTAGTTAGGTTAACCGGTCGGTAATTCTCAGGTTTATGTTTCGTACCTGTTTTGAAGACAGGACTTACTATGGCATTTTTTCAGTCTTTTGGTAAATGACCCTGGGTTACAGGTAGATCAAATCATATAATTAAAGGGTACACAACGAGGTTCTATATTTCCTGTAGTAGCCTAGGATGCAATTCATTGGGCTCCGTGGATTTGTAGAATTATGGTATACTATGATATTAGTACTGCTCTAATAATAGACCTAATCCTGAAATTGTAGATTTGTCATGATATAACTGCCTAATCTATAAGAACTTACGTGGAAGTCACACCATCGGCTACATCAACTCACTGTATCGTATCAATTACCAGTACATTATGTAGAACAAGGTTAGGCTAGAGAAGGAACAATATATTTAGTATGAATAGAAGATATAAGGTAACATTCAGCAGAGACCACGCCTGCATGGCCGAGCCATGCCACTCGATCAACTCCAGTCCATTCAATTCATTCTCCGCGCCTTCTCCATTATTAGGTATTTCCCCGAGTTAAATATTGAATATCTATTTTCTGAGTAGTCTCGTGTTCACAGCTTTGTGGATTGTGTGGCTATTGTCCAATGCCACTACACTACTCTCCCACCAGAATCAACGTGATGTTGGTTCGATACCAAATTGGATGGGATCGTCGCGCGCCGGAGGTTACCAAGGATAATAAAGATCCTCCGGGTATTGATAAGCTGAAAGATAAATCAAAAAGACGGCAGCATCTGGTCGGGAAATACATGTAATAATCTTAAAATATCTGCTTTCATGATTAACACGCTTAAAATGAAAATTTGGTTGAAGACTATTTGAACTATAAAAAATGGGATTACAATAATAATAATAATAAAACGATGCGTGTTAATAACTTGACTTATAGACAGTAATTATTTCGTGTTTAGAAATATTAAAGTAATGAATATTGTAGAAATGTTAATATTGGTATTAGTTTTGGTCTAACTTATGAAATCAATTTACAATTATGCCGGTAACCTGTCCATATATGATTTCCAATTGCATCTGTATTAGTAAGCTAACTGAAAGAACAAAATTACTAACGTGGAGAAGAATTCCAACTAGTGTTCCTGTTAGTTTGATACGGTTTATTTAGTTACGGGGAGATTTTCTCAACCTCATTTTTACTTGACCGTGATAGGATTTAGTAATACTACTAATACACATGAATGGTTATCAAAATAAAATTTAAATACATGAGTGGTAATTATATGGATTTTGGACAGATAGCTAGGAAAAATCGTTAAACATGAGTGTGTTCGTAAGAGACATGCTCTAGACTCAATGTTCTGACCTGCGATAGACTATTTATTTATATTTATACTTGCCGGCTGATGGTGCACACAAGTTAGTTGCACGTATGCGGGCAGAATACGATTTAAATGAAATATGGTGATTATAAGTTACGGAAATCAGTTAAGCCTATGTCACATTACTAAGTGATGTGGTGCTATAAGATGTACTCGGCCAAATACGTTTTTACAAGATGATTAACCGTGAGTGATGCTCATGCGATTATCAGGGAGTACATAAGTTGTAACCAAGGGGAGTACACTCCCAACTCATGTCTATGATAATGGCTTGAACCTTAGTCAGTGTTGGGGTAAATTCGACATTAATGTTTTCAGTTTGCAGGAGATTTGCTCGACTGCTTATACTGATTATTTGCATGCATGATTGTGTCGCTAAACCATCAATTAGACTGACAAGGTTTTGAGATATTTACTGAATGAGCAACTAATAGAGAAACATACTGTAATCATCTGTGATGGATGAAGATACCAAGAAAACAACACCATTTAATGGTAATTATAGGTCAATTTGTTGACCGATTTCGTTAATAGTTTTATTAATTTTATCAGTCATATTACGTGATTGTCAAGTTATGACAATGCTTTATGACGATATCCTGAAACTATTAAATTTAACTAGTTATAGTGTTGATTGAGGATTAGCCAGTGGAAAAATAGGTATTGTTGCTTTAAGTGATTCGAAATCATCAGAAATTTACAACGTTAAGGAATCCGAGACGCCTAATTTAATTATAAATTTCAATTCAGAAATATTCGTTTAGTGTTAATTCTAGTAGGTTACGGAGTTTTGATTTTAAACGTTTGTTTAGCCAACAGCTACTTGGGGATTTAGTTATTTTACTAGTGCAGTTGATAGTACCTAAATTTTTAATCTTATTATCTAAACTATGTTCGCATTTTAGGCTGCTAATATGATAAACCAATCCATAAACCCAAATACGATTAGCAACAACGACTATGATGGGTTTATTGATAAATGTTAAAGGCGATCCAGATGATTTCTAAATTTAGAAGACATGAAGATATAGTGTAACGTATGTATGGGCCAGGTTAACATGCAGGTTGTTGACGTATATGACGATTTAAAAGTAATGAACATGACCAGAAAATTGTTTTAAAGTTTAGACTGCTTGTGAAACCTCAGGCAGGAATATGATGCGTTATAAAAATTCCATAAGAAGTTAGTGCATTTAGCCTAGGGACACTTACAAATATATGGCAAAAGCAACTGGAATACATATACATGTTAAGTACAAAAAATCATTAAGTAAAATAGTTGAACTCGCCTGGGTTATTTTTGAAAATTAGATTATTCAGTGGACGACATATATAACGCCATTCGTGAGGAGTAGTAATGATCCAAAAGTATCCAGAATAAAACATGCAGTATGGCAATTAATCCCAGGGTGCTTGATGCTGTTGACGTTTTTGCCACTCGCTCGGATTAGAACAGCCGAATGAATTCAGATAATTGTGCGGTCACCATTGAACGAGCCATCTAAAATGACCTTATGATAGCAGAAAACTTATGGCTGAAACACCGTATGTTTTTAGAGAAGTGTCATCCTTGTTGTTTGGCAATGGAACTCGAAAATTTGAAATTAGGCAGGCAGTGGTCGGAAGAAAAGATATTACAGGATAGTGTATAGTTTAAAACAGGATGAGGTAATAAAATAAGGAACACTGAATATTAGATCCAGGTAACTATTTAGTCCTTGCTGCATTGTTAGTCAATGTATATTTGCATTATTTACTGGTCATATTTGCTAGAGCTTGATGCTTAAACAAGCCTATGTCGCTGAAGCATGTAAATGCTATTAAAGCTTGTTAACGAACCATCAAAGCTAACTAGTTAACATAGACGACCAGTTTTTATTATCGAATGAGCTAGTAAGTTATGTGAACTAATAGATATAACATTACGATAATATATGTGACCATTAATCAAAGGACTATTAGAATAGTGGGTTTACGAAAATAAAATCCGATTGAGAAGGTTAAGGTGGAAATAAGGATTAACAATAATAGGTTGCGTTTCTTTAGGT